GAAAATCATTCTCAAAAATCATGTTTTATGACTATCAAATATGAAATTAGGAATATTCATGAAGTATTTTTTTTGTAAAGTTCAGAAAAATCTTATTCTAATTATATTAGCTACTTTAGCGCCTCCATTTTGTCAGTAAAACATTGTAATACCTTACGATTAATGTCTAGATCGGTATAAAAAGGTCTAATATTAATCAATGATTGTCCAAAATATCTTTTACCAATTACATATTAGAATACCTTGTACTTAATAGAGTACTATGACTATTGAAAAAAATTCTGAATTTAAACGCAATGAAATTATTCATTATAGCAACTACTTACATCAATCTGTTTATCATTGTTTCTACTTGATGGATATTTTGAATCGAAAATAGAATTCTAGTGAATTTGAAATATCTTTAGCAAAGTATTGAAGAAGCTGCAATAATTATGATTGCCTAATTAATCTAAAATGATGAAGTTGAGCAAATTTTTAAGCTATATTATTTCTAATTCTTCAAAATCAATTTCATCTAAGTTTAACATAACAGATGACTTTAATATCCTTCTAGGGGTTCTACTGCCACCGGATTATATAAAGCTAGAGCGGGCAGTCCAACTAGCAATCGATATGATTAATGGAAATGAAATTCCTCAAATTGATTTAAATCAAACTAAGTTGTCTGCCTTGTATTATCATACAGATCTGTACAGTCCTTATGATAATTTTCAAAGTGGTAAATTAATTGATCAATTTCGTTTCAGTATCCTACTACTACATGTTATACTTATTGAACGAACTTCCATTGGCTATGAATATTCCTATTTATGCTCTCTTTTAACTTGCATTTAATCTAGCTTGCAATGCTATGAAGGAAGAGCTTATGGTGATTATAGGGCCAGTAGTGTCTAGTGCAACAAAAGGGACACAATTTGCTTGTTCAGCCTTAAATATGCCACAGATTGCTCCATTAGCTTCAGACCCAAGCTTAGTCCGTAATCCCAATTATAATTACTTATTACGAATGCTACCCGTTGCTACAACAGAAAGTACTACCATTGCATCCATCATCAGCCATTATGGATGGACAAAAATGACTATACTAACATCTAATACGGACTTTGGTAAGATTTACTATTATTTTCAAACAATAAATCGTGGTTAGATATCAAGAGATGGGTACTACCAGTATGATCGCATTGCTATAAAATAGACTATAAATGTAATGTTCAAAAATATTTCTGGGAGCGAATTAACTTTTTATTCGCCTTCGAAATTGCTTTTTTTAAACGTATTAGTGGAATTAGTGAAACATGAAGCCATAGCTAAGATTCTACAGTCGATAACATAAGACAATTTAAATTTTTTAGGCGTTAATTCAATGACCAAATTTCGTGAAATAGCATCGAGGAAATCCTGGAGGATTCTTGCTTTTGAAGTATTTAGGATTGATCGCACAGGAAATTTAGTTGACATTGAAAGTCATTTACGTCGTATTAAAAATTCAGGTAAATTTATTAAAAATTCTATTGTGCGCTAAATAATTCCTCGATAAAATTTAAAATGATATTTGTGCAATTTACAATAGTTAATATTCTACACTACATTTATACCCACTTTAAAATTATCTTTGCACCATTTCATCATAAAGACCAATATCGGCCATTATCGATAATTACATTATTTAGCATAACCGTCTATTCTGCATCATATACAATAGTAACATATTTCAATTTTATCATCATATTTTAAAAATCACAACTACCGTAACTAGCTGAAATCACTATTCGATTGTAAAAGTTTAGTAACGGAAAATAATATTACGTTGCTTATAATTTGAAATATGTTATTGCTGTCATAATATAGTCATGATAATGATATTGTCCATGATTACGTTATATATGCAAATATTATTAGGTACAAGAATTGTTATTATTAGCTGTTTAGCTAGCCAGGCAATGCAAATATTTAGTAAAGCACGTTCTTATGGTATGCTTGATCGAGGATGGTGTTGGATAGCTGCCGATGCTATTGCTTCGCAGGTAGAGCGATGTACTGGACAGCACAGATAGGCATTAATGCTTGTCCAACAGTAGAATAATGTAGTTTGATCGTAAATTAGTTGGACTATGCTCAGGTTTGAGGTCTTAAGAAAGTTTATTTTTAGTATACATCAACAATATTGATCGCTGAATTAGTACAAATAAACTTTTCCGATCGGATGATTGATAATTAGCAAAATTAATTTTCACATAAGCACGCATTGCTATGACAATAGATAGTCGTAATTTAACTGATCAATAGGATGATAAACACTACATGCTCTAATTTGAATACTGTGGATTCACTTGCATGTTGCTATAGAATTTATTACATAACCTTCTAAATAAAAGAACCATCAATACAGCTGTACATTTAATTTCTTTAGTAATCTGTCTTGAATTCCTACAGTATTGTAAGAGAGAGAGTTCTATATCTATACCTGCTAATATCTAGAAATAAAGGTCAATATAGCAGTTTCAATCCTACTTTAACTACTTTATAAAATTAAAACTATAGTGCTAACTCATTAAACAAATCTTTTGCCATGTTTTTATGACTTTCTGGCAGTTTTTAAAGTGATGATATTCTTTACTGTTTCGCAGACCTCCAACTTACCCACGTACTTAAATGGCTTACTAGGATTACGATATTATAGCAATCACGGACAGCTTTATCATAATGTAACAGCAAAATATTTTAGACAATATAATCAACCAATTGAGGTAATTAACGACTTGAACATAAGATAATTACTTACCTAAGTGAGAAGAGAATTATTAGCTTTACGAGATATTAAGGATAATTAGTACAATTCAATACACAAAAATAATGTATATTCGCAGTTATTTTTTCATATTTTTCTAAGTGTTACGCTAGCAATTTAATTCCAGTTATAATAACAAAATTGATCTATAAAATTTAAAACGACAGACTTATCATAATTTATTTTTTATTTCATTCTTTATCCGAGCAGTCTTTGTATTTGCAGTATTTTGATGCAGTTTTAGCAGCTGGGTATGGTATCCAAAAGATGCTAAAGGCTGGTCTATCATTGAATCCAGCTAACCTAACTTGTACCACTAAAACAGTTCCTGTTCCCTGGAAAGATGGATATGAAATGCTACAATTAATTAAAGAGGTTAGAATGATAGAACACAATCAAGATTTATACCAAATGTTTGAAATATAAGCATCTTCAGATAAAGGCCTTTACTAGCATATGAATATCGATAAGGTCAATATTTTAAGTTATGACCGTAAAAATGTAATGCGATGATTTGCCATGGATTATTTTTAATATTATTTGGCTATCTACATAAAGATTACAGACCAAATTTTATTTTGCCCACTAGACATAAATTAGGAGATACTAATAATTCAAGATACCATTACTCATAGTGCAATAACATCATGTGTTCTCAAATTTGGAAACGACAGCATAATCTTCATTATATAGAAACAGTTAAGTTACATTTCTCCTGCTTTGATCTTCTTAAGGAGCATGCTAGTCCTATAAAATAGTAGTTAAGTCTATGTGTTCTGTTGTAATGCAAAGCGTCTTAGTTTGGTTTTTTATAAACATCGCATTATTTGAGCAATGAATCTATATAGTATTCAACTCATAACTGCAAGGCGAATTTTGAATAAGAATTTCGAAATTTTTAGTTCCTGTAATTCTTTTACAATTCATAGTCATCCGGTCCATCAACTATCCTATCCATTGATTTTGATGCTGATGGTGGCCCAGCTAATGTTGGTTATGATATCGTTAATTTGCATGGCCAGACATGGGCTAAGGTAATTTTAAAAGATTAGACGGCTCTCCCATAGCGACACTGAAAACAATGCCATAATCTTTGACTAAGAGAAACAGGAGTTTGTAGTTAACTTATAAATTAAACCAGAAAGTTCCAAAGTATTATAGAGCTAAATTTCTAGCCACAATCAATTAAATTAACAGCAAAAGATAATTTAAGCAACTCCGGATTAGTCGGCAAATTTGTTGCATTTCTTAATATTTATGCAATCTTTTCTTCTCTAAATAAACTACCTAAGTATATACCCCTTAGGAGTATGTGCTTCTCAGATTTATTATTATTAAACTAATATTTTATCCGTAAATTAATCTGTAGGTAATCGGCAATTATGCTGTAACGTACAGTAGACAATGAAATCTGAGACATGAGAGTAATAAAATTAATTTTTACAATAAAGTAACGCATTTTCTACCGTATTATACGATCAAAATAAGTCATCATTAGAAATATTGAAGAGTATATTACATCCTTAATTTGCTTATAATAACATTGCCTCATTTTATTTTACATCGATAATAATAATAACTTATGAAGGAGAATTGTACAGCTAACCTACATTAAGCTTATCTTCAATTATCAGGTTGGGGATTGGACTAGTGATCACAAGTTAAATCTTGATGATGATGTAATTTACTTCTTCGATGGAATGAATCATATCATTGATTCAGGTTCGTTTCTAAATGGCAAGAACCTCATTGTTACGACTATTATTGTAAGTCCCTTCTCTAACTTTTAAAATATCTTTTTCATTATATCGTATAATCTGGAGACATTGATCAATAATGAATGCTATGCTTTCAATGCTGCATTCTCAGCTATCCAGGTTGTAGTACGATTATCTAAATATTTGTATTAAAGTTTATCCATCTACAATTCTTTCTTGAATGGAAAATTTTGCATCTATTAATACTGTCAGCTATATCACGAAAATATTTTGGACGATTTGTTATTGATATTTAACGAACATAGAGAGATGAAATGATGATAAAGTTTACGATTATATACATCCGTGCAAATTTTTATTTATGATATAGTAGTGGAAATCATACTACTGATTTACTCGTATTTAAGTTGTTAATAACTTTATCACTGAATACGTGAGAAAATAATCATTGTAATCATACTTAAGCAGTTCTTATATTTATTTGATAACAAATGCAGGAACCTCCATTTACTATCGAAAATTCAAATAGTCCTACGCCTAATAGTCGCTATGATGGCTACATTATCGATTTAATAGATCGTATAAGTGAAAATTTGAATTTTACGTATGACATTCGATTGGTTGCGGATGGTCAATATGGGGTACAAAATCGAAATGAATATGGTGCTATCGTTTGGACGGGTATGGTGAGAGAAGTTGTTATCGGAGTAAGTCGCTCTCTAATTTATGGCGCAATTATACAATAATGAAGTATTACTTTTTACTAAGTAATATTGGATAGCATTCAATCCTATATAATCAACAGTATACATTGCCTGGCACCAGCTAAATTTCCTCCGTATAGCGGAGGAACTGCCATGAATTACTGCACAATTTTGAGTCTGTGGTAGCTGAACGTAATTAATTCAGATTATCCGCTATTGCCTGATTAAATTATCCAACGTTTAATTTGATAAAGCTAACGGTCGGATTGAATGCGATTAGTTTTACGGAATCTTTATAATAATTTTTCTCTCAGGAAGCTGATATTGCTGCAGCAGCTTTGTCGATAACACCAGAACGACAGCAGGTCTTAGACTTTACCATACCGTACATTAACCAAGGACTAACTGTCTTAACATTACGAGAAAGTAATCCACCAGTTTCGGTTTTTCAAGCTTTCTTACCGCTTAGGATTGAAGTCTGGATTGGCATCGTGATTACATTAATTATTATAGCAGCAGTTACTACATGCATCAATCGGTTAAGCCCATACGATTATTACGGTAGAGCTGCTGATCAGATTAAATTATTGCAGAGATCAAACTCCTATTCTGATCAAGCAGAAGAAGATAGAAAGTTTTGGAAGACTGAAAAGGAAAACGAATTAGAGGCATTTTCATTTAGCAATAATCTGTGGTATACTTTGGAATCTTTTTTATCTCAAGGGGCTGAAAGAACTTCAAGATCGATATCTGCACGCCTAATTACAGCTATGTGGTGGCTAGCTTCGGTCATCATGATAGCTACTTATACGGCTAATTTAACTGCATTCTTAACAGTGAATAGTTTGCATGCAAGTAAGTTTGCCTAATACTCTAAGCTCTATCATTATGGAGTTAATTAGACTAGACGGATAGAAAGTTCATTATGTTTCGTTTATTTATACTAGTTTTATTTTTTAAATCTTTTGTAAATTTTACTTAGCCATTGAGTCGTTACAAGATTTGGCTAGGACTTCAGGCATTAGTTATGGTGTTATGGCAAACACAAGTACAGAAACATTCTTTTTACATACCAGTATCTCGCCCTATAAAGATATGAAGTATCATTTGAAAAATGTAGCCAATACTGCGGAAGGAATAGAACGTGTTTTAGCTGGCACAACTGAACCTTATGCATTTATAAGTGATACGGCAACGTTAGATTATGCAAAAAGTAAAAATTGCAATTTAACTACAATTGGCAGTTTTAAAGAAGATAGCCTCGCTTTAGCTGTTCAAAAGGAGTCCCTTTATTGGAAAGAAATTAGCATACAAGTACTTAAATTGCGTGAAGAAGGCTATTTAGATATTCTTCGAGCTAAATGGTAATTATGCTTGAGTTGATAGTTATAAACTGTCCACGAGGATAGCTACATCAAAATTTTGAGTATCCTTGATATTAAAACACATGGAGCGTTTTAGACTACTGTTAATGATAATTTTGCTTTATCATTAAATTTTGAAATTAGAGCTCTAACTTCGTCATAGGTATAGTATTTGTACTTAAATGATGTAGCCTCTTGAAGAAAACCATCAGCTTAGAGATCTTAATTAGCCCTTTTATTAATTAAAATCAAGTCAAGAGCTTACCGTCAGCAGGTGTAATACATATGTAAGTTAATTATATAGGATAGAGTCGAGATGAAATTGGGGTTTAATTAAGTAGCAATTGGAAATAGGTCTCCCAGTATCGATAGGATAAGTTTTAATGATGACTGGAATAATATTTAGTAGAGCTATAAATTAAATTCTATGATCAATTTATTATTAAGGCTGCTGCTTAATCTGATTGTAATCGATACTAATGAAGTCAAGCTACGACTAAATTGGCTTATTTATTAGAAATTATTTTACGCCTATCAAGTTCAGTGGATGCTCTTATATTAGAGAGATTAATGTTATGTATCTCGTAAGAAGGAAATTGGATATAGCTAATGTAGTCTAGATACCATCAATCGATACTATGACAAATCCTGAGTGAGCTGTTAGAGCTTTCAACAATCGCACCCTAATACTAATATGGCATGATTTGGGGCTGATTTAAATATGCTACCGTTATTTCTATTGACAGGTTTGGTGGAGCTTGCAATACAGCACAATCGTCTTCAAGGCTTGAGCCAGTTAAACTGGAGAACCTTGCAGGAATTTTCTACATCTTGCTTATAACGATTGGGTTTAGTATTGTCATCCTTCTAATGGAATGGATTGTAGCAGCTGTACAAGATACTCGCCACCCCAGTACTAGGGTAAGAAGATGCAATAACTTATTGTAGCTGTAAATGAGTAAAGTTTAAAATAATTATATTAATTACGGTAACCGGCGTTTGTTGCAATAATGTGATATTTATTCTTGCCGATGACTAGAAATTAACATTTAAGAAAGCATTAATAAACCGGTTCCAAATCATTCGTCAAGATTTTCATCAAGATTGGCAGCGAAATGACCAAAATATTCAATCCGTGGTTCAACCAAATAGATTAAAATCTAACCGTAGAAAATCGAAAAAAATACCAGTACCGACCGCAATATAAAATTTTTTATTACCTATAGAGCGAAATTAATTTAGATCTGAACTTCATCAGAAAATTTAATCTTACTATATTGAATGGTCTAACTGTTAGAAAGCTGTTAGCAATTACGGTAAATTAATCGGCGAGACTCCTATACAAGTCATTATTACTAGAGTATCAAAGTCAGAACATGAACCTAAATTCGTTAGAACTGAGTAATCTTCTTACGGTTACTAAACTTAATTGAGTTCAAAAAGCCTTTACTTAGATTGTCAACTTGCATGATGACTTTATCTTTTTCAGCTTGTATGTATAAGAGAAATAGAAATAAACTTACTTGCAGTACTGTTGTATATTGCTGCTGGTGTTTTGGAATGTACTGTGTTAGATGCCATATTTTACAAGTGGAATTTATTATGCTAGCAGTGGTATTAGCTACTGTTAACAGATTGCTATATTATAAGATAGTTTAAGGCTATTTGTGCATGTAATGAATTATCCAGCTATGTTAAAGCTCATTGATTACGCAACAAGTCTTATTTTTGTTGTAATAGCAATAGTAATAACAACTACCTCAGCAGCTATGAATGCATTAAAATCCATTTTACATCACATTTATGTATCTAATGCCACACATTTGATACTAAAAGTTTCTTATAGAAAAGAATTCTTACTTTTAGATTTATCAAAAAAATGGCCTAGTTTGATGATCATCCAAGTGAATGCAATCAATAAGCACTTTTCTAAATTACTAAGTAAATTTAATTAGCCATGCAAAATTCCTATTTCCAATACCCTAATCAAATAAAATATGCGTAGGGATAACTGACTATGTATAATTCAGCCGGTAATAACAATCGTGTATAATAATATAGTTCAAATTCCAATAAATTCATATTCTTAAGTAGGGTCAAATGTTTCACTGTATACTCAACTAACTGGCTATGCCGTAATAATGCATTAGATATATCGAATAGTAGGAGGATTACTTCATAATATGCAAGACTTTGATGGTATATTAGATACTGCTGATAAAAATAAATTATGAAAGGTTCTGATATTATAATTAATGCAAAGCATTAAAACGAACATTGTACAATATGTTATTAAAGCTCTTTAAAGAGGAGCTATCCGTAATTATTCTATCAGGCAATTAATGCTTTTTATTTAGAAATAACAGACAAAAATATTATCCTATAGCTACATCAACTAAGTAACGAACAAGTGTCTGCTTATTAAAATCAGAATGGAAAGAGTTTATAAAAGCTACAGTAATGATGAATCTGATTTTAATATGCAAACTTTTTAAAATTGATAAAATAGCAACTTTTACTCTACGGTATCTATGATAAAATTGCATAGAAGAGTGATTTTCTCAACATTAGCCTTGTTTGAGTAATCAAAATGTATTTGTTTCAGAATGCTTTTGTCGCGATACTATTATTTAAATCTATATCTTGATAAAAGTATTATTTCATGATGTTACCACCGTACAGTCAATGTAAAAATTCCAGACTAATTTGAATGGTTTATTTTCGAAACTATTGTGGTATACTTCATATAGGTTAGTTATGCTTATCTACTACATTCTATCTAGACGATTATAATAATTGCCATAGGTGGAATGATAGTAATAATTTACTTATGGCTTAAATATCAATAGAGTTAACAAAGTCAGGATTAATGGGATCCACATTGATTGATGCTGTAGTTTGATTGCATCGCTGGTTTCTGTTGATAATGTTCCAATTGGACTTGGCTGTATCGTAGGTGTCGCATCCGAATTGGCCAAAGTTCCATTTGGTTCTATAGATGTGCGAAAGCAGCAGATAATAAAAAGAGTATTAAGTACAACCAACACCAGAATACTAAGCAACTATTTTTAATAAGGAATATATTCTAATTTCACTCAAATAAATTACCCGATTGATTGGTGATAGCTTCTGATGTTAAGATTAGTGATAAATCTATAAGAAATAGATGCAATTGCCAAGTAAATTTACTAAACCGGTACAGTGATGATCATAGTCATCTCAACCAGTTTTATAGTAAGGTAATGTATCTTTAAATTTTTGTACTTACCAAAGGTAGAGCTAGTGAATGTTGCTGGCTCACTAGACGTAGCCTTAGTAGGATTAATTCCTGTTGTGGCTAAAATAGGAGTTGACAATCATTTTAGAGTAGAATGACAACGAAATTAACATTTAGTGGCCTACCTGTACTTTGCGATGTTGTAGAGGATAGAGTTGATGCTGTAGTAAATAGAAGTGATTTTAAACCAGTTAATTAACTATATATATATTATTTTTTCTCTAATTATTGTGAAAGAAGCAAAGCTGTAGTGTATGTACTTATGACTGAGCTTGTTGTAGTAGTTTGATGAACCGATGAAGAAGATGCTAAAACAGTTCAAATTATCTTTTAATTAGTGCTGACTGATTTTCAAAGGTTGTTGTAAATATTCAAGACTGTTATATTTAAATTTTCTGCATTGCTCTCAGCAATAACTTAAAATGATATAAATTTGACTTTCATTTTAACAAGAAATAGCAATTTAGATATCAATCCTAATAGGAAACGCAATTAAATTTCCTGGCTTCTTACTTTGATGAGATGATGTTACTGAAATGGAAGAACTGGTAGGCGTTTGACTAGAGGCTTCAACAAAAAAGATCAACCATTAGTTGAGCAATAGCTGAAATAATTTACAATATTTAAATTGTGTTTTTGATAGATAATTTGTGAGTAAAGATGGTAAGTTTAAGAATAAATTTGCACATAACTCGCCGCATCACACTACAGAGATATCTGACGTAAGCAAAATAAATATTTAATGCTGTATCCAATGGTCATAGCTGATTTATCGCGAGAATGATGCATAGTATACGCATAATGTAGGCATTTGATTTACGGCATCCAAATCTACTCGCAACGATGGTGCTGCAAATGCAGATAAATAAAAAAGAGTGGAATAGAAGCCTCAAAGCCGTTGGATTAAATATTTAATCTTTCATGTTGATGCTAACTATGAAACTTCTGGTAAACTCGTATTCTAGAGTAACTACAGAAAACTTATTCCGTGAGATAATATCCAACAACATTTCCATGAACTAATGTTACTCTATTCATTCTTAATGCTACACATTATAGGATGTAATCTTGTTATATTTATTCCCTTTCTTACTTTGCTGCGACGATAATGTAGTAGATATAGATGAAGATAGGACCTGGCTGGAAGAAACTGAAAGACCGCAAATAAATAAAATTAAAGAATTTTTAAAATAGTATTTAGCTACCTTACTTTAGTACGGTATTACGGTACAAAGACTTAAATTTATACATGAAGTATTAATGAAGAAGTAGTTCATTTAGAATATTAACCAATCCGCATCATTCACTAATACATATGAAATATTTTAAAGCTACCTTGCTGTGATGTTGTGACTGTTGATGTCGATGAGGAAACGACTTGGCTAGGCACTGGAGGAAATCAATTGTGCAAGAAGGTTACGATTATACAGGATTCTACATAAATATCTGATTACTAGCAAAGGACGGAAATTTTACTAACCTACACTAGGATTTACAGTTGTTTGATTTCCATGACTGTCAATACTACCGCCATTACCTGATTGGCTACAATCAGGAGGAGCATATCCAGCATTGCAATGGCAATTGCCATTACTGTTACAAATCTAATTTGGAGAATAAATATATGAAAAATTTCTATCATCATAGTAGAAACATGGTGCATTTCAATGAATGAAAGTGTAGAATACTAAACGTGACTTCTTATTATCAGATTCTACTATCCGATAGAAATGAGAGTTTTCAATATCTTATCAATGTAATCCTTACTCCATGATTAGAGCAGTTAGCTGGGTTGCATTCTTTGATATTTAAGACTGATTTTATATTTTGGCACTCATTATTAAAGCAAATCTTTTCTTGACCACATTTGGTTCCATCGATGACAATACCTGGATCAGGAATATCATTACCTAAATCGATTGAAATGCTCTTACATGGTATTTGAGCGCTTCCCTAAATTACAATTGAGAGTAGAAATAGATTAGTTATGGTTTTAATTGATCACTTTCAATTTTAATATGAAATGGTCAAGGTAGCTAAATTTATTACATAAAATTTAATTCTAATACATCTTCTTCTCCACTACCTGAGTAAATGTAACTGTTGCCAATCTCCAAGTAGCACCTATTACTGGCGCTGAAGCATTAGTCCAGCAATGTAGTTTACCACAACGAACATTGGCTGCACTACAACCAGTATAAGCTCCACTACTAGATCTCTTACAATATCCATATTGATTTCCCATAACATTAAGCCGATTCCAACAAATACTAGCTGCATCTGCACTATGTGGTCCCCATAGTGTTCGACATTGTGCATCAATGGTTAAGCATGCCCCATTATAGCAATAACCAGTATTTCTGGAGCATTGTAGCGCATTTTGTTTTACCATATTAGCTGGACATAATTCTGACTTACCACTACAATATTCTGGCAGATCACAGTCATTGATCGCTCCACGACAGAGTATTGATTTTGCTTTATACTGGCAATTATGACAGCAAGGACCTGAAGCACACTTTGCTGAAGCACGGAGTTTACACGTTGTGGCGTTACAACATTGATTAGTACATTCTGCTACCGAGCCACAATCGCATTCTTCTCCTACTTCAACGAATCCATTACCACATTTTGGTGCTGTTGCTAATTTTGTAGGTTGATTAAATAAGCAGGAGCCTAATCCTTCCTGTAGGCTCTTATTTAAATCTGCAACACTACAACTTGAAAATGATTGCGGATAGGGCTGCGAGAGTACACTAGACATAACGCATATCTTGGCACTACTAGGTTTATAAACACAGGTGCAAGTTCGTCCAGTATCATGATTCATACCGAAAACGTGCCCAATTTCATGAGAAAGGATAGCGGCAACTTGATCAACATTTTTGGAGTTATGGGAAATACCCACTGCATTGGATAGGCACATAGTTGAGACATAGGCTAGACCTAGATAGAATAAATAGCATACTGTTTCATTTTGGCTACTTTTGGCAATTCAAATTTTTATTTCTACCTATACATTAGTCATAGCTGATTTAGCTATATCAGTTCTAATGTAACTATCAATACTATATTATACATGAAACCGAATACATTTATTTCATTAGTATATTGATGTAAGTGACAGGCATTGCGGGGAGATAGGTTGGGTATTAAATCATAATTTAAAGGAGTGAGGAGATAGATAGTGAAATCCGATATGGCACAAATTTCTTAAGAAGTTTGGCTACGTAAGCAAGATGCAATAGATATAAATGTATGAAAAAAAAGCGCTTTAGTTAAGATAGAATTTGCATTTTAGTAAAGCTATAGGCGATTGATTCGCTATCTAGAGCCTGTAACGTGTACTTTCCTTGCTATTTTATATTTAATTTAATTGACATTGACTTGAATACTTAATAGAGTAACAAAATATCGCCGATGTTAAAATATCAACTGATAATAAGATGATCTAAGATACCGGAAATTTTTCATGACTCGAGCACGTATAAGCGTACATTTGCATAAAATATATGTCTGCCTTTCCGTTGGGCAGTGGTTTGAAAAGTTATCGATCGATACAGCAAAACAGAGAAGACATCAAAGCATGAACTAGGGTAAAAAGAAGATTTGCAGTTGCTTTCTATCATAAACTATACTATAAGTGTATGCTGAATTTGCTATTAATGTTGACTGTAGAAAGAGAGATCACTTATAATTAATATTATTGGCAACTTGGAAGCTCGGTGCAGCTAGAAAAAATAATTCTATTCCTTAGCAGATCTGAACCAGTGGTCGTTTGAGTAGTATGGCACTTATTACTAGATGAATACGGTATTCAACTGGTTCGGTAAGGCTATTAAATCAAATTTCTTTGCCGTTGTTTACTACTATCAAATATTGTATCGAGAATAAACTTACCTGATTTTCCGGTTAAACTGATTCCAGTCAAGAGTTGAGCACTATCATAAGCATGAATAGATTTTAAGACTAGGCGTGAATAATTAGCAAACTTGGTTAGTGTTGCCGAAGCGTCTGCCGTGACTGTAATTGGATCTTGCACAGACCATGTAACGATACCAATTAATGCTACACGAATTTGAATGGTTTTGTAACGTAGATCAACGCCATTAGCAATCTAGAGTAATATTGAGTTGAAATTAATAGTGCTATCATCCTTAGTAGTCTTATAAGACGATCAAATCTATATCTACGTTCAATAAATAAAGTGTAACTATATAATATTAAACTTATCCAGAAGTTTAGAAGAATTATTCATTAATTATAATAGCTACATTAGCGAGTAAAATAAATCAGTAAAAATAAAAGAGATAAAGATTAATCATAATCGTTTCAATTTAAGATTATAAATTGATATGTTATTTAAAGAACTGTCTTTGAACATTGCATTATTTAGGCATCAGACTTCTATATTATCTATTAATTAGATCAATAAATCCTTTTCCGTACAATTGGGAGCCTATTGAGTCGAGGACAAATGCTTAATCGGACATTGTCATCAATGAAAGATTTACAACGTTCACTAATTATACTTCCTTTGGACTTGACTTAATAATGAGCATAGAGTGCTTTACCGAAAATTGAAAATCAACCTGAAAATCAATCTTAAAATGCTTGAAGAAAGAACTTAGATAACAATAATTTGCATTGTTTACGCCAAACCGTCTATCCTTGCATTATTTTGTTTCTTATTAATTCTCACGGTATAATAAGTGATACTGTCATTTAAGATAGCCTTTTCAATAACTATCGTCTCAATGTTATCTGAGTCATCACTATTGAATATGCCTTAACTTAAAGCTATTCAAATGGGATAGAATAGTCTTTCTACCCTTTGGCGATGATAATTGTTAAAATGAGGATGTTTGCGTTATCATAGAATAGTAGCGCTCGAATTAGCTTTTAGTCGGCGTCAATGACTATTTGACCTTTAAAGACTTATTATACTGTGTAAATTTAGTCATTCTTATGGTATTATTTCTAATAATGGTGTTGAGAGGCATGTAACAAGAATTTAAAAACTTGAAACACATTGTGGCTTATGCTAATGAGAAATCAGTTTCAATACTGGTTTTACAGGAATGCATCTTTTCTGTCAATAAATCGGTCTTATTTCAGGCTGTTTACTCGGGTAATTGCCTTCGATTTTATTAGATTATGCGTATACCTTAAAATCCGAATAAAAAATGATTTGAAGTTCGGTAATTAAATTATTTATCGCATCATATCAACAATGAAATAGTACGAAGCTGCGGGTTTGATTTAAAGCCGAATACTAATTATGATATAATTGATTACAGTTAAGAGTGTTTATCAAAAATATCTAATATCGTGATTTTACTAAAGTACATAGTGATAGGGGTTTATAATTGATTTTTTTAGCTCGAAAGATAATAGAAATGATTAAGGGAGGAGAATCTCAAAATTTTTCATATGTAACCTAATCATACTTAATGTTCTAATCTATTCAAAATTGATCAGATTTTCTAATTCATGGAGGCAATGTAATCGGGGTCAAAAAGCGTAAGCCAGACGTATGAGAAATTAGTTTTACTGTATAATTAGGTTATTAAATCATCGTACTTACTTGAATAGTATGACTTTCCAGTGTTGTCAAATTACCATTAAATAAATCGTAGGATCGCTTATCGTTGACTAAAACTAATTCCAAATATTTGGTTTCGTTAAGAGCATTACGACGTCGGCGTTGATGACTGGCTTGCCTTTGTTCTTGCATCATCTTACGCCTATCATCATTCCCCTCTGCAACAGCATAATCACATCGATGTTGTCGAGTAAAATCGTTTAAACTGTCATGGCTATCCTCTTGGCGATAAAGGATATGAATTTGGTTATCAACAGGTAGAATTGCATAGTTCTTTCCACGATATTCGAATGTTCCCTCTAATCCCCGACATGCCGCTATAGCAACATGATCTTGAGTCTTATAAATAAGGAATAAACAGAAATAGATTTAGAAATATAAAACAAATTTAATGATATCTGTAAGGATGCTTCTTCTATTGCAGTATACGATAAAGGCTCATTTGTATTACTATACAAACATAGACTTCCTCTAAATACTGGAAGTGTTAATATACAGCATGTACTTCCAACTTTCTCTAGCAGTTCTAAAAACAAGATATTATTTCGCTATTTATCGGTTGTATAAGCGTATATGATATAGATTTATTTCGTTCCGGTCGAAAGAAATTATTAGATTATGCATCATATATGTTACACTAAACATATTATATACATTGGACGTGTATAAAATTGCATTGATTAGGTTTAACTACAATTTATAGTCTTAGTTATGAATTATCGTTCGATCTTACAGTATGGAAACATGCAATGAATAAAACTTGCTTTTGCTTATCCAAGCCGTGATGAGAAATTAGTTGAGTCAAAAGTATAGAAATGCATATGAACAAGTCCTGTTCCTTTGCAATTCTTATCGCTAATAAAATCGTGTCTAACTATAATTTATGAAGATATGCATGAATAGTACGGTAGTTATTCTGGGTAATTTTGTAAGTAAATACCCCACTGCCTAGTACGGGTATGGAAAAACAGTTTTGTTTAAGATTCATTAATTAACTTTATCGTTGGAAATGGATCCAATGAAAATTGCTTCCATCAATTACAGTAGCGATAAGATTATCAACATACAACACGGATGTGATTGGAATTCAATTTCTAGTTCCAGAAATGGGTCACTATTCGATTTTTTACTAACTGTGACTTAGTCCCTCTGATAAGCAGATTTATGTTGTTCGATTATGATTTATGGATGGTATGTATGTGGTGAATATATTTTTTGCAGTCCCAGTCATTAAATACTCTTGACTATACAGCACGTATACAGTACACAGTACAGTAGATTCTCATATACATGTGGATAAGACTCGATCTTGTTAGGATTGCTACTCAACTGTATGTCGAGTATCATACAGATGCATAACTCAGCATAAGTATAGGATTATTTATTTTTATCATGATACTGGAGAAACTTGATGATGAATCGATTGGAAAATGACTAAAGTGTATGTACGGTACCTAATTGCCTAGCATGGATACAGTGATGAATTTATTACTTCTACGATAACATGTTATTTAACTATTCAATATGGATGCTGTTATGCAAGGAATTTATTTACATCCCATTCTTGTTTATCGCTCTGATGAGTTATTTTTTCAGTTGAGGCTAAACTGATGGGGATGAAATGTATTCATTGTTAACATGTTCAATTTAATATCGTGTTGATCGATTATTCCTTATATAGGTATGTAAGTGTAGCTATATTTTATTTGGTCATTCCACTGATTTGGTCCTACAAAATGTTCGTATTTTCATCGTGCGATTTGAAGACTGAAACAATGTACGAACTAGTGATTATGGCTAACGTAAGCCACGTTTTAGATTATGATTCAAGATGGCATAAATGTGAATGGTTTACTTACATGTTCTGCTTGTCTAATTTGACCATGATAGTAACAAAATGGACGCGATAAACCTTCTACACGCTTCTTATCTTGGCCTTGCTGATACGTGTGGTGAAAATGGCGGCTTAGTAAACCATCGTTTAATTTCAGATCAAATGTTAGTTCAGAACCAAAGAAATCAAGAGTAATTGACGATTTTGGTGATGTCAATGGCCATGTAATGGGTTGGTTTTTCTCTTCCAGGTACGGTTCGAAGACGTAATAATTGACTATACCTTGAGATCGCAAATAATGTTGTTGTTTTTTAGTTAATCTAGAAGTTTGTGCTGAAGTACATAATGCGCTAGATAAGATCACAATCAAATACGCATAGACAAGAATTTCATTTCTTGACGCAATCTGCATCGTTATGATCTAAGATAGCGGAACAAATAGCAGGGAATAGAGGAAAATTTATTAGTTACTTTAGTTCAAATGTACTATTTAAAACAAATTACAAATAATGATAAGCAAATATCTTACTAAAGCGATGTAGAGGAATATGAGAGGCTAGTTGTAAAATAGTTCAGTAGTTAGGGGAATCAGATAAGAACCATAAAAATTATTCAACTGATAAATGATTAGCTTCAAAATACGACCGCACTACAGATATCCAAGTGGGAAATCAGATTCGAGAGTTCGTTGTTAGTTAATTAAACCTATTATGGGATATAGGTAGGCTATATTTAGCGACTGACTCGATCATCATAAAACATGATGATTGGAAACATGATCCAGTACGGATACTCTTTCTTTCTTCATGGCGGATATTGACCTTTTCATCTTCTTCTCTCTGCTGGAGTCCGTCGACACCCAATGTATAGAAGAAAATCAGGATAAACTAAAAACACCATGAGGTCGTTCCATTCAAAAGTAAATTATTGAAGTTATTGAAAAAAATTTTTAAAATTAGTCTTGCCCATTTTTATCCTCTAGACTGAAGTTTGGAGTATAGTAAATTCGATACTTTATTGTAGTCAGAGATAATAGTAATGATTTATCTTATGAAAGAATTGGACGATATATTCATTAATGACTCGTTTGATGGAGGATGAGTTGAATACGGCAATAGTTTATGTCGGATGCTTATAACAAATATTATCTAAAAGTTAACACCGAAGCATTGTTCAACCTTATTTTATTATCAAGTCCTAGATAAATAATTGTGAGTGTACATAAGTATTAATCAATGCCCAATGTTGCCGTAGTGAAAGGCATTAACTATTAATTACATCAGTATGGATTGTCATTAAAGTTTAAAGATTAGGTACATTGATAGATTCGCAGAGTCGATGAATTATAATGTTCCATCAAGACAGATTTTTGTGAGTGTTAATTGATCATAGAGGGATAGGGTATAATCTTGAAAGACAAACTAAGCTCTGTATTATCTAGGATAACAAAGAGAATTTTTCCCTTATGAACATCATTTCACTAAAGGCAATAATTTAGTATCGTAGTAATAAGCGTTTACTATTTTAGATCATGTTGAATATGAATAATGAATAGAAAGATGATGCAACTCGCTGGGTTACTGGGTTTTCTTTTCTTGATCAACCTAACAGAGGTATCCTGTCATTTCATAGTAACTTCCTAAGGGTTCATATGTAATATCCTCTTAATCATTTTCGCTCACTACATGCATACGTTAAAAGAAAGTATAATATAACCCAGTTAAGCATTTAAAACAAATGCAGAACGTTGGTAGGGCTCTCATTTAGCATTTTGGTTAGCATGAAAATACAGATGATGGCTGTATTGTTTAATATTCATCGTCTACTGTTTTCAGTCGTGCTCGATGTAGACGATAATAGAGATACAGCTATTTATTTTTAGCACACTGGGATATCATCGAGTAATTGACTATTTTCTATGATTAGACCAACAAGGATATACTATCTATCTATCAAATCTTTTACTAAAATAATAAGGAGAGCAATCATCATTTATTATTTCCTAAATGGTGCTGCAGAGATTTCATTTATTTTACTGTTATTTTCTTGCTCGATGGGATATTCTGACGTAACAATTATTATCTTCCTTTCAAAATATTTAATTTGGCCAATATTGTACATGAGTAGCAGGTGGCTTTCATCATTTTCCTGTAGATCTCTAACTCATTTTATTATACGATTTCTGATATTTATAACTGAATAAGACATTGCTGGATAATAAAGATATAATGTGCCTTTACTTAGCAGAACAAAGGTTCTATATATTTTAAAAAGTTTCAAGCACCAACAAGTATTACCAGACCAGCGGGTTGTGTTGATAATTATAATTTATGCTTATGATGAGTAGTACAACCTTTCCTTTCATCCTATATTGGACGATTATATATTGACATTATTCTTATGGGGCAAGGTTATTAATTTATCCCTTTTCCGTAGTTATTGATTATGTTACTAGTTGTATATCTTATACTGCTTGGAAACTTTAGTTATATATCAAGAATTGTTTAAAAATTTAAGTTATCGTTATCGAAATACCGCTGAGTATATATACCAATCACGAGATTCCAAATTTTAGAAAAATAAGGGCTTTAATGAATCTCATACAAAGATTAACTGCACACAGTTCTACTATAGCCGAATACTACTACTAATGACTTCTACAACGAACTAACTGAAATAATCTAAAGTTGCATGCTTTTATACTTTTCGTAGCATTCGCAGCTACAATCCGAATGGCAACCTTTTACCTTATATTACACATAGTTAAATTATTCTTAGTAAGACTATTCTACTGCGGACCATCATTAATCCAATATGGATACGACTACAGTACTTACGCAGACATTATTCACACCAGCCAAAGTACAATGAATTAACCATATCCTGAAATATGATTTACAGTTCTATTTTTACCTATAGTCTTATTAGTAACTCAACAATTTACTGTATATAGCCATCTGTACTCTAGCATAGAGTCTATACCACTACAGTCTATAGTTATAGCTACCAAATATCTCTTAGGATAAATATCTATCGTACATTATACTAAAGATGGCTAACAGTCTACAATCACAATACTAGTTACATTACACGCTGCTATTAGTCTATATAGAGTACTCTCATAAATAAAAAATAGGTCATCTACGATAGTAATAAGGTAATAAATGCATCGACAGAAGTACGTTAATATGGTGCCTTTTCGACAAAGATCAAGAAATCAAATGTATTAATATGAACACAATTTTCTCATAATGTGGTCATATGAATCTTATTCTCAACGCCACTAACATAATTAGAGTTCATTAATGTTCAATTTTATCGTTTCATGCTACGTTAAAAGCATAGCTCAATCATGATAGCGTAATTGATCAATCGATCTAAAGTAAGAAAGAAATAGCCGTATTGCATCTTGTAACATTAACACTTTTAATTTTATTGTTGCAGTGATTGAGGTGCAAGAGAAAATGGCTTATTCAATGATGCGTATAAATAATGAATACTAGTGCAAACTCCCGTCGCTTTGCTGAGGGTTTACGATAATGTGCTCATTTAACAGATAGTATTACCATTTGTCGTACTCAGTAGACCTGTCAGAGGTTCAGTAACTTTATACCGTGTACTGTGTAATGCTTGGGTCTAGCAAGTTTGAAAATATACTAGTGCAAACTCCCGTCGCTTTGCTGACGGTTTACGATAATGTGCTCATTTAACAGATAGTATTACCATTTGTCGTAGACCTGTCAGAGGTTCAGTAACTTTATACCGTGTACTGTGTAGTAGCTAGATCGTTACTGAGTAAAGTTATTAAATTTACTGTTTTATTTGAAACTCTAGTACATCCATGGGGTATCTAGCACTTCTACAATACTTGATATGAATATATACCAAAGCTAGGATAAAACTGTTACACAGTACTACACATATTTAAGTGATTACTTTAGCCCGATTCCAAATTCATCGGAATGAGGATAAAAGCACTAGTTGTTATCGCTGTAGTATACAATTTCAGATTTAGAAGTATTAAATCAACAGAAATAGTGCAAACCACAGCAGTGTTAGATAAATGCTTTGAATGCCTTGATTTCGTATTGTACCATTTGGTGTAGTTGCTGACGGAGATATAACGACGAGATCTATAAGATTGAAAATTTTGAAGAAAAACTTTTATCAATAAAATAGAAATAATTCTACAAACAAGCGGATTAAATTTAACATATAGTTGAATCTGTGATGCTACTGTAGCTAAATCCAATTCAATGGAACCAATGCATGCTTTCAGCTCGTGAGTACAACATACCAAATCAATGATATTTTGAAATCCGATTACGTAGATTCATTCATTAGTCGATTTAAATAAATCGCAGGCAAAGAGCGATGAAGCGTAAATAAAATACAAATATGTTATAAGGCAATAATATCACATTTTAGGGTATACGATAATTAGAACAATGACGTGTGAATTAGTGTATAAATATAACTGAGAACTACTTAAAAGAAAATAGCTTCAAGATACAAGGACAAGCTGGTTCTTCTCCAAATTTTACCTGTAGCTGTTGCAACGGTAGAATTTCCATGACTATCTATACTGCCTCCATTGCCAGGATTACTGCAGTTAGGAGGAGCATATCCAGAATCGCAGTGGCAATGTCCTTTATTATTGCATATCTACATACAGCAGCAGCGAAATGAAGCAGATGTGATATCCGAGTAATGATAGTGCGGATGATACAGTATAATATGTTGAGTGGCACCAGGGACCATTCAAGAAATTTTTCAGCACTATCCTTATCCCCTATACAAAAGAGGGATATGGCGGGGTGAAGTATTTCTTGTGTAGTCCTGCCAATACTTGCTATGCTGATAAAAGTATGAATTAGAATCGTTAAATAATTCTTACCCCATGATTGGAACAGTCAGCTGGATCACATTGTGTAATGTTTAATACTGCCGTGATGCTTCGGCATTGCTGCTTGAAGCAAATTTTTTGATTACCGCATTTAGTGCCATCTAAAACTGATCCAGGGTCTTGAGTGCTATCGCCTATATCGGCAGTGAAGCTTTTACAATATGATGTTACTGCTCCCTAATTTCAAAGTTGGAAGCGTACATTAGGCTATATATGGAATTTAGTTTGGCGAATTGATTTTCGTACATAGTAAATTTATTGGGCGAATACTATGGATGACTTTATAAATTACTGTACCTGCGTAAATGATATTATAGTTATGTTGCCAATTATTGCAATAAGTGGGTAATTAGTTGAAGAATCGCATTGCAGCTTTCCGCATTTAATATCAGCTGGGGCACATGGAATATACTGACCACTGGCAATTCTTTGGCAGTAACCTTCAGGCTTTCCTCGAGTATTGAGTATATTCCAGCATAAATTATCCGCTTCTCTTCCAGTTGATCCCCAAAACAGACGACATTGAGCGTTGGCTGTAAAGCAAGCCCCCTTATAGCAGTATCCAGTGTTATTTCCACAGTTAGTTGATGATTGCTTATATATATTAGTTGGGCATTCAGCAGAATTTCCGCTACAGTATTCCGGTAGATCGCAATCATTGCTTACAGCACGACAAAGTGTCGATCTCTGTTTAAATGTACAGTTAGAACAGCAAGGACCAGTTGCACATTGAGCAGATGCATGCAATTTACATGTTGAGGCATTACAGCAATTGCTTGTACATTCTGCTGGTGAGCCACAATCGCATTCTTCTCCGGTTTCTCGTATACCGTTACCGCATATTGGATTAGTAAATAATTTAGTTGGAATATTCCATAGACATGATCCTAATCCTTGAGAAAGGCCACTCTTCATTTCCGCGACGCTGCAGTTTGAAAAAGTTTGCGCATAAGGCTGGCTGACCATAGCAGCCATGATACAACTGGTAGCATTGGCTGGTTGGAATGTGCACGAGCAGTGGCGGCTGTTGTCATGATCCATGCCAAAGTTGTGGCCCAATTCATGCGCTGAGACGATAGTGTCAGCGGGAATATTGAGAGTATTCTCAATAACACCTACGGAATTACCATAGCACATGCTAGACAGATAGGCAATACCTGAGAATGGTAATGATAATCAATATTTAAGCCTATATTGAGAATGGTCATGATAATTAATCAACATTTAAGCTTATATTGGCTTGTCAGGACTTGCTACTTACGGTATACGATGGAGTAACCTGTCATACAGTCATTTTTCTTACCTGCTTCATTTTTAAGGAAGATACCAGTGAATAATTGTGCACTGTCGTAGGGATTTGTTAATCGTAAGGTTTTAATAGCATAATCTGAAAATTGACTTAGGGTAGCAGTTCCACTATCAGTCACGTTAATTTGGTCTTGCTGTGACCAGGTAACAATGCCAACGAGTAGAACGCGAACGTTAATAGCCTTATAGCGTAAATCCACCGTGTTAATTACCTAGAATTAAATTCGTAGTAAGGTAATCATGAAACCAAATGAACAGTCGATGATGGTTATAAAAGCAATACAGTGATAAAGTAGATACGAAGCAAAAACAAAAGCGTCAGCTATGTGTGTCTAAATGATTTTGCAGCGATTAACTAGTTGTATGAATGAATATTGCTATAGCGAAGGGTAAAAATCAAGCTACCACCACGTAAGAGTTTCTCATTTTTGCCTAGTGGATATCTACGCTGGACATTGTCTAGCTTATTCAAAATTACTATTAGCGTGTGATATATTACTACCAACGGTAAGAATGAAGTGGCTGTCATATACTTGTATTTACTTAGGTATTGAGTAATTATGCTTAATTTACAGATGAGAGTACGGATGGTTCAAATATTTATTCTGCCCTGAAAATTAAAATAATTGCAATTCGGTTAGCTTTGAATACTTACTTGGATAGTGTAGCTCTCTACAGCGGTGATATTATTAAATAATCCGTATGATCGTTTATCATTGACTACAACCATTTCTACATACAAGGTTTGACTTAAAACATTCCGCCGTTGACGAGCGTGATTGTTCTCTTGTTGAATCGGCAGTTTATTGTACTTACTGGTGTGGATCTTGTCAATCAATTTCAAAGGTTTACCTGGATTGTTGAGCTTGCTGTAGAGATCACTTAAAGGATAGATGCTATGAATTTTATCGTTGAGTTGTTTGATGCCGTAATCTCGATTTTTGTATTGAAAGACGCCTGAAATACCTTGGCAAGCACTGATGGCCGCGTTGTCTATTTGTGACTATTTCCAATGGAAAAAGCAATAGAATGATTAAATTATTCAAGGAATAGCATACTCATAGTATAAAAAAATTAATTTACTGTAATCCACTAATAAGGCACATTTGAGGTTACTACGCTTACTTCAATGTAGCATTAGAACACTATATAACATTACATTATATCGAGAGAGTCATGCATGCCAGCATATAACGTCTCTAAACTTTTGTATTATTGGTAGTGCTGCTACGGAGTTGGAAGTGCTTGAAAGCGAATTCGTTGCTACTTTACTATTGCTTATACTAAGTTAATAAAGCGACTGTAAACTGCGAGCAGTCATCTTTCTTATGCGGATGTACACCCTGCGAGAATATTGTGTTAAAATCTGTCATTGATCAATCGACAACAATTTAATTATAGGTAACTAAGGGCATTATCCTTGTCAATACGTATGTGAAATATTTTAATTTTGATAGGATGATTTCATCGTACAGTACAAATCCTTTCCAGTACCGATTCCTTCCATAGGGTACGGGCCACCCGAATCTTGGCTCTTGGAGGATATCATTTGTCAAAAAGGGGGTCGAAATTGTTTTTGGTGAAAGCGACATTTGATGTGTTGTCGTGATCAACTCAGTATTGTAAAGGAAGATAAAAATATTCAGATTTTCTTCATTATTTGTTGTAACGGAAAATTTTCGATTTGTTCAATAGGATATTAGGTAGCAAGTTTTATTGCTAGAAAGGTGTGATTGAATAGGGTGTAAAGAGCAGCATAAGCAAATGATATCGCCTCTTACATTAAATTTAAGATGTCAGCTAAGAATTAGCCTTAGTATTCTAGAGTACATACATAGCAGTTCAGAGTACTGTTACCCAACGCAAATTCTCACTTTTAATAATGATTGTTGGCGTATACAATATTTGCGATCGCTTTTTAACCAACACCTAATAACTGATTGGTTTCAAGTTTCCGTTTGGAAAAGTTCTATTGCAAACTTGATAGTCGAAATCATTCGCACTTGCCTATCTGTTCTAACGTAGTTTCAATTTCGCGTTGCTTCTTCCCGTATTTGTATTATAGTATCTAATCTAATTGTATTTACCAATTGTAAACTATTATTCTAATCAACCATTAGAAGTTAATATTAGTCTATTTCTTTCCGCTGACGACGGTCTATTTTGTAAATTCTAGTATTTGCAAATGTCATAAATCAATAGTCAAGGTATAAAAATAACTGTGAAATTGTTTACAGTGCAGTAGAAAGGAGTTAATAACACGGATGATAACCTGTCATGGATGATAATATAAAATATACTGAAAGCGAGCTAGAAAAAGAAGAACTGGTGCAGTATTTACATAGTACGAGTAGACTGTGGTGAAAATTAGCTTTGATGTAGTGTATGTGTGAAACATTGCGAGCATGGAGTCATGGTAAAAAGTAAAAATGAATGATCGAACTGCCGGCTGTGATGAGAAAATATGCTAATGGCCGTGCTATAGTAATTTCAAGTTCGGAAATACAAATGGGCATTTTTCAATGTCGAAAACTTGACGAGTTACAGACTGTTTACTTGTTTAAATACATATATGTTTAAGGATAAAGTTCGAAATATGGTAATTGATCGAGATTATTGGATTGGCTACACACTATACTGTATACTGGAAGAGCGAATCGATTTCTCCTTCAGATCTCGTTTTTATGAGCATAATTACTTTATTGCAGTAATGATTAAATAAATTGAATGCCTGAAGTTGATTCATTAAGGCTACTACCTGGTGGCTAGTAGAAGCTCTAATCCTGCCATGGTAATGGCAAAAGGGTTGAAATAAACCTTGATGGCGAACTGTTTCATCGTTCCCTTGATAAGTATGATGGAAGTTTTCAGGGATTAATCGATCATTCCGTCTTAAATCGATGATTAACTCTTGCCCATAGAAATCAATCGACAGTGTTACTGTAGGAGATGTTAATGGCCAGTGAGTTTCCACTCCATCGACTTGAAGACGAGGAATAAATGAATGATGTTTGTCTTTGCTATGTGACAAAGAAGGAAATGATTGTTGTTGTAGCAGATCAGCATAACTCGGTATCGTTGCCAAATGCATGACCCACCATAGAGTCAAGGCAATAGCACGAAAAACCTTCATGGTGTAAACTATATCGTCTATTAGCCACCACAAAGACTACAGCAACTTTAAGATCGATCGATTCTTTTCAAGATGGGGGAAATGAAGAGTTTGTTTTTTGATTTCTTTCCAATTCTCTCTTTTAAGAATCAAACAGAAAGTCAAGGAAAAGTACTGAGAATGGATGATGGCGACGGGATAGGATCAGCTCGCATACATAGAGGTAAAATGGATCATCATAACAGGTAAAAATAGCTCAACTTGATGGATTATTCCAATGAATACACGATTCAAAAATGCAGTCAAGAAATGAATCAAAACAAGGCTGGAAAATAATATTATTATTATTTATTGAATCTGAAGAACCAAGCAAAAAGGACACAAGAGAGGGAAAATTTCAGTCCACCTTGGCCATTTCGTTTTAGTATAGGATGGTAGAAATGATGGAGGTCAAGATAGGCAATGATGAAGCGTCCAAGGTTGACCGAGAGATAGACTGAATGGATTATTGGCGATTCAATCGAACCGCTTGTGACAACGCTGTAGAAAGTGAATCCGCCGACTCACTATTTTCAATCGTTGAATTGACTGTCACAATAGTTTCGCCAACTATCGAACAGGAAAAATCCTTTTGTGACGTCCTTCACAGGCTATTGTTATTCAATGTCAATCAGGCGGCGATATCCCATTTAGATGACTCTACAGTATCTGAGTAATCGGGGTTATTATGGCTGGGCCTACTCTACACTGTAGAGTCTACAAGGGTGGACGGGCTAATTTCTATGATTTTTGTGAAGGTAAATGTAAACAAAATTTTTGATATCTTCAATAAATTTTATATGAAACGAAAGAGAATGAGTTAAATTACAAGAATCCGTTGTCAGAATCACTATACGAAACGTGGTTTCTTCGTAAATTATGTTTAAAGCCAAACCGTTATTTCGAAAACTACGTAAATTTTGATGACAGATTCGTGTAAATTAACTCTTTTTCTATAGACTGATATAAAATTTGTCCAAAAAAAAAAAATTTAATCTATCTGTTTGCACCAAAATCATAGAAATTAGCCCGTCCACATACAGTACAGTATAGTACAGTACAATACGTTCATTGTACTGTATAATCTAACGATGAACAATGACGACTTGATTCATTACTAGATATTTTCATCAAACGATCGCTGGCTAGTGTAGAACTGTACATCCATATACGCGTATAGCGTATTGGGCGAACATCGGGTTTTGGCCGTAACATAGATGTCATGGGCGTGGTGAGCCTTATACTGTACACTGTACAGTACAGTACAGTACTATACTGTACTGGTTAAAAAGTATTCACTCGATCTTCAGACATAGTGTAGCCTTTATTTACGTCTTTCAATTTTGAAGGCATTTACTTTGAATTTGGCTCAAGTTTCACCAATACAGATCATGACAACCCTAAGCAATTGGCACTTGATGTTTTTTTTCAATTTTTACTGCATTATTGAGTTATTTTCTTTCTTTGAAAATTGCAATACAAACCATCAGTTACTGGTAAGCGTAGCAATAATAATATACACTTATACAGTACTGTACAGCTAAACCAACAGACGTCTATGGTCGCTTTCAACCAATCACCATGAAATACTGGTCTAAAAATACTGTACGTCATGGGATCTTTGTTGCCAACCAACCGTTGTTATAGTTACGGTCGTCATCCTGTACCAAGCAGGCAAAGACTACCAAAGAGAAGTTCGTAGCCGCACAGAGAGCATATATGCCGCAGAATACGGAATTCACGCCGCACTAGAGAAGTTTGTCGCACTAAGTGTAAATGCATCGTAGAAGAGAAACCTTCAGAGAATACTGTATTGCGTTGTGCTACTGGATAATATATATTTGCTGCACGAGAAAAGTGACCCACCACACTCTCACATGATCAAGGATTAATGACTGCTGTCTATTATTGCTGCAACTGTAAATTAATCTTGATTTTAGGGAACATTCATAGTCAAGCAATTGGAACTATTTTAGTAGTCCTTGACCTTGGCACTGTGTAGTGCAAAAAGACAACTACCTACAACAATTTACTGGACGCTGTTTGTAATGAGACGACAACTGCACAGTACAGGAGTTACGTGAGATTGCCTCGGCAGGCGGAATCAGCGTACCTCAGTAACTTGTGTACGATTGGCTCAAAAGGGAGGCAGGACAATCATACCTACAGTCGCGAAAGAGTCTCCCACTTGCAGCACCCATATCAGTAATGAAGGGAAACTAGAGACTACATTAAGTTACAATAGGTTTGCAGACGAATTGATCAGGGAGAATGATTAGGCAAACATGCTACGAAGAAGGGTATAAAAGGCTGTCATCATTAGAAGACAATGCAGTCGATAAACTGTGCCTGAAAGCTAGCCAAGTGTAGTTTGCGTAGTCTAGAGCTTTATTACCGCAATATTCAGCAAGATTTGAAGAATAAACTACTTTTAACCGCTACATTGTAAAACTAATTATATATTATTGGGTGACTAATTTAGAGTACGGCTAAGGGTAGTGCTTTATTTATTACATGAAGTAAAACGATTACTGCAGAAGGCGAAAAGGGATAAATTTCGAACTAAATGATGATAGTGTGATAATAATGATCCCTGATTGGTAAAGTAATTGCAATAAATTGTCTAAAAATTAAAAATAAACATGTGCAATCTTTTTGACACTTACATCATGTATTTTAGAGAAACTAAATATAACTAATGTTAGAGAAACCATTTAAGAATGCCAAAATGCAATCTTTACAAGTAACACGATGAATAGAATGTTATAGCTGCTTCTCATAGCACGAGAAATTTCATGATCTTTTGTTACTGTCAATATTGTACTATTTCCGTTCACTGAAGAGGTTGGCGTTGTACTAGATGTTGGTGCTAGCATGGCAGCGTAAAAGATAGATAGAAATAAGAATTAGAAACGGTTAGTGGAAGTAAAGATTTGATTTGGATAAGGTTCATAAGCAATACTGTAAATTCAATTCAAGTATTACAATTAAAGATATGATCTACTCTGGGCCATACGAATGTTTACTGTAATTTATAAACTTGTCTCTAGTTGCGCAGAGGAATTAAGAAATTGTAATTTGATCACTTTTACGTGTAACATTGTTATTCTTGAATTGGAAGAGCTTCTATTCTAGTATAGAGCAGACATCAATTCAGATTATAAGGTATCATAAGAACTTTGTCTACTGAAAATCAACACTAGTAAGACTTAAAACAAGACAAGAATAAGTAACCGATTGATCATGATACTACGTTAAGGATAGATTAGGAGACGTTCATAAGGCTACCCTGGCTAGCATTATGAGAAGGATTTCGATTGTTACTACTAAAACTATCAATGAAACCAAGTAAGCTATAAGAAATTAAAAAAAATAAAGATATCCATCGATCTCTACCAGCTAAGTGCTACTACCGTAAGTACAATATAACTTGATATTGTTTAAGAACGATCTTACCTGAGGTTGCGGTCGGTAAGGTATTATGGTCATGGCTATCAATACTGCCCCCGTTGCCAGGTTGATTACATGATGGTGGAGCGTAACCATTGTCACAGTGACAGTTTCCGTTACTATTGCAAATCTATAACGAAGAATTCATACAATATCTTAACTAATTTCATTTCTGTCGTGAAGAAAATGGCTAAGTAGCCGCTCGTATCAGCACATTGATAATGTTAGCTGTCGCGAATAATCATTAAAATATGTGTATCTTTGCACTAATACACTAGGTCCGAACCGTAGCGTAATGTTCATGTCTGATAATTATAAAATAATAGATAAGTTATAAGTTTTAATAGTCATAGATTACAAATTATCGACATGTTACGCAGTCAAAATGCTTGTCTATATCGTATCTAGCAAGATAGTAAACTTAAATATTTGTATAGTACGACGCTGCTATAATATAAAACGATCCGTTACTATTCCAGCTAGAATCTTATAAAAGGAGAGTCTAAAGAACTCTTCGGCATTGCTTCACTTGATCATTCAATTACCCTCCTAATGCATGTACAGTTCAACCTTCAATAAAATCAATTAACTAGTAGCAAAGCGCGAGCTGCATTATATGAAAACTATCACTGGCCAACCTCAAGACTTACCACATCAGCCGTCAGTTAATTAATAAAAGTGCTAACGCAAAGTAGTAGACTCACTGTGAAGTGAATGTTTATTTTTAATTTTAAAACATTATCTGTTTATAATATGATTAATTCAAATTGTTTTACTTACCCCATGATTGGAGCAATCAATAGGGTTGCACTGCTTAATGTTGATAACGGAATTAATATTGCGACATTCATTATCGAAACAAATTTTTTTGTCTCCACATTTGGTTCCTTCCAGAACAATCCCTGGGTCTGGGATGTCTGATCCCAAGTTCCCAGAAATGCTCTTGCATATAGTTAACTTTCCAGGCTGCATAATAATTAGTCAATCCAAATAGAAATTTAGTATTAGCAGAGATAACGTTAGCATTAAAGTTAAACTAATTCAATCATGCGCAAGTTTACGGCACCTAGCTTAAGATAGTCGTATAAGAGGTAATACTGGCCGAGTAACATTAAGAAGACGATCTTACCCTAGAAACAAAAGCAGCTATTGAAAGATTCCAGCTATTACCAATCACGGGCCTAATGGCTTGCGAATCACAATGGAGTTTACCACATTGAACATTGCTAGCGGTGCAAGCGATAAACTGTCCAGCATCGGTTTTCTTACAAAAGCCACTTTCATTTCCCATTTTATTGAGGTTATCCCAACAGATCTGAGGAGCTGTCTTTCCAGTGGGGCCCCATAAGGTTTGGCATTGTGCGTTAGTAGTGAGGCAAGCTCCATTGTAGCAATAACCGGCACCATTACCACATGTTAGCGATGATTGCTTGACGACATTTGCAGGACAATCTGCTGATGTTCCACTACAGTATTCTGGTAAATCACAATCATTTGTAGCTTTGCGACATAACGTTGATCTAGCCTTGAATTTACAATTTGCACAGCACGATCCGGAGGCGCATTCAGCAAACGATTGCAGTTTACATGTTGCTGCATTGCAGCAACGATCCTTACATTCTCTTACGCTTCCGCAGTCACATTCCTCGCCCGATTCCTTAAAACCATTTCCACAAACTGGATTTGTGTATAGTTTTGTAGGAACATTAAAGAGACATGATCCGAGTCCTTCATATAAACTTTTAAATAAGTCTGCGACGCTACAGCTAGAGAATGCTTGCGGGTAAGGTGAATGCAATGCTGCTTCCATAATACATGATGTAACTCCTACTGGCATATTAGGGCAAGAACATATTCTGCCCGTATCATGATTCATGCCAAAATTATGGCCCATTTCGTGTGCCATGATTGTAGCTACACCTTCCACATTTAGTGTATTTTCGACCATTCCTACTGAATTAGGTAAACACATAGTTGAAAGATAGCCGATACCTGGAATATAATAGATAGAAGATATTCATTAATAAAGTAATTTCTTGAATAAATACAGAGATCCGTAATAAGCTTGTTATCGTTAAAAGATAAATTTTGCTACGATTAAGATTATTCCAGCTGCAGTTATTACTAGTGTCATTGAAAAGGCTTACCAATTTTATTAGTGAGACTAACACCTGTAAGTAGTTGTGCGTTATCATATGGATTGGATTTCTTCAAAACAACATTTGAGTAATTGGCGAACCTGCTTAAAGTAGCAGAGGCATTTGATGTAACCAGTATTTTATCAGTTTCACTCCATGTAACTAAACTCATCAGGGCAACGCGTACGTTGATTGACTTATATCTTAAATCGACGATATTAGCTACCTAGATTTATGCAAAATATACGAGTAGTTGTTACAGTTCTACAGTATATTTTTAATGAAGCCAACAGATATTCAGAATGATCATAGTTGCTATTACTATAGACACTCTATATTTTATGATAGGATAAAATAGTGGATGTATCATTACTCTTTCCAAGTATGAAAATAAATGTGTTCAATTCTACGAAAGCTGATATGTGACTTGTAGTAACTGCTATTGATCAAGTTACTATAGCCGTCAAAATCATACAAACACGTTCATAGGTCAAGGGCTCACAAAAATAGCCATAGCTATCGAATCTTAAAGGCTCAATGTATTAGCACACCTACGGTGGTCCATACGTGCAGGAAAGTAGGTAAAAAAGTTCGGTAGAGCATAATTTGATACTGTCATACAAAAAGGTACATCCTATAACCCTAACCGTAATTGCGATTGTATGTATTATTGTACTTGTGATGAAAGACCAACACAATATTTTACAGCGCAGTCGAGCACGTTGTCAGCAATCATAGTTAACTGTAATTGAAATAAAGTATAAACCAAACTCAAGTAAGACGTAAATTGTTGCGAGACTAAAGACCCCAGCAACTCTCGTCATACTCGCGAGTCTTTTACTTGTACAATTTTTTACTTACGTACTGGCATAATACTGTACAGAAGTATGTGCTAAAAGTACTTAAACGCACATACATGCACGGACTAATTCTCATTATATGTAGAAATTGTTTCGACATAACTAACGAAAATCTCATTTCGTGAGCTATCAAATATTGATTTTCTACACTAACCTGAATGGAACGAGTCTCCACAACGGTTAAATTACCTTTCAAGAAATCGAATGATCGCTTATCATTAACTAATACTAATTCTACATACTTAGTTTCAGTGAAAACATCGCGTCGACGACGTAAATGTAATGCTTTCCTATCTTCAAGCCATTTCTCAGTTTCCGGATTTAATTTTGCAATCTTACTAGCACAGCGGAATTCCTTAAGATGACTACTACTTTGATCTTTTTGATCTTTGATACGATAGGTAGCGTGTAATTGGTCATCTAGAGGTATTATGGCGTAATCATGACCATGATAGTGAAATATTCCTTTAATACCGCGACAAGCGGTGACAGCAACGTGATCCAGTGAATCCTAATTAAAAGATAATGTCGAAAGATAGTAAACAGATGAGTCCATTAGTCTATTGAATGTATAAGATTAATTATCACACGAATACACATTATATCCTAATTAAATGGAGTAGCACCATGATCTAGTTATCATGACAATAACTTGTCAGCACTAAGAGGTGTGATCGCTGACGTTGAATTTCCACTCTTAGTCGCTAACGTTAGCACGAGGGACTTTGATACACTCCTCCTAGTAAGCTTACTAAAAGTCTCTTTTATTTAGGATTTACTGCATTTAAATAGTATAGCCGTAATAACGTATCTTATGCTAACACATTAGGTGCAGTACAACAGGTTACTGTATTCTTACATACATAACAGCTGACAGTAAAATGATTTCCGCGCCTACAACAGCGTCTTTAGTAAAGGCTTCTTTCGATACACTCTCCGACTTAAGAGCCCCGTAAAAATAATAAATATTGAGGAATTTCCTCTACTGTCAATGATTTTGACAGTATCGACAGCACTGTCATATTGTCAAAAACATTGACAGTTGAGGAAATTCCCGATAAATATTATTGATACTCTTACAGCAAATGGCAATACAGCACGCATTCTATCTGCTGTATTGTGCAACCTCATGAAATTGATCTATCATGTACGGTATTATTTTACTACAGGTAACCTATTCACATTATGAGTGCATCAAGACAAGACGTGTCGGCTAATTTTGAACGATTTGGTTTAAGGAAAGTGGATTGAGATATTTTCTCTCCTTTTAAGAAATTTTCGATTCATGCTTTTAGTATTTTCTTTGAGCGATACAATAATTATATCGGCGAATCGTAATATGAATGTGAAGTATCATAAAAGTTTAATATTTTATATGTTCTGTAGCTGCGAATCTTATATAAAATGATCACTTTAATGGTAATCCATGAACTGGATATTTAGTTGAGTTACAGACATTAGTAATTATATGGCGTGCTGATTTTATAGTCATAGTCAAGGTCATTGGCCTTACCTTAGCTTTTGCGGTTTGGCGAATTTGTCCATGATAGTAGCAAAATGGTTGTGTTAAGCCTCGTTGGCGACGCATTTGGCCTGTAACTTGATAGGTATGGTGAAAATGGTGGTCGACTAATCCATCATTACGTTGTAAATCTAGCGTTAGTTTTTCACCATTTAGATTTATATCGACTGATGCATTTGGCGATACAATTGGCCACTGATATTTTCCTCCATTAATAGTTACTTCGGGTTTAAATAAGTGATAACTACGAAGTCCATGAGGTAGTTGCTGTTTTTGTTCCTTGGTTAAGTTAGCACCGGTTAGGATACTCAGTGATATCAGGGACAAAATAAAAGTTAGCCAGAGAGAATAGCACTTGCTCTTTATTTTACTACTTCCCAGCGTGATCATCGCTAATTCTAGTATATTAATATAGAAATATTTATTGTTTCAGGCTGTCTATACATATGCCGCTAAATGATCAACTCATGCCGAATAATTTAATTCTACATAGAAACTGATTCTAGAATCTAAGTTTATTGGAAAAGTACGGAGGACATTCTATTTCTAGACTTCGTGTACTTCTCAACTGAAAACTCCGCCACTTGTATCGTTGCTAAGATTATGTCGAAGTAAATTTTGAACAAACACACACGAGAATCTGTATTCAAGTAGATTGATTGTAACCTTATCCATGCTTTAAAATTATAGGATATAATCTACCGAATAATTTTATCTTACCTACCGTGTATTGAATGTGCTTGTACCTAGTTTTCTGTTGCGATCGCGGTAATGCTACGTGTAACGGATGAATCTTACCAAAGCAAGTAATCGTTTAAGAAACCGATTGTAGCTTTTAATTATCTCAGAAAAATCATATGATCAAATAGTAATACAAGGTGTTGAAAGCACTACCGGAAAATAGTGCGATAAGTGTACAATCACAGGAATTGATGCTTAAGGCAATTATTACTTGTAGTATGAAATCACCCCTAGTATGAATCTGCGACCTTTCTTATTTGCTCAAGCGTCAAATAAAAGATTGAAAGATAACATAAAAGATAGGAGCAAACCACTCGAAAGTGCGCGTATCTATTATTTATTTGCCATTCTGAAAATCAAGTGATTGAACTATAGCGACGGAAGTACACCAAAACAAATCATTGGATGAAATAACCTTTAAAGCTGCTGATTTACATATTATGTATATTATATATATATATATGTTATTAGTTAAATATTATTGTTATAATTGAATAAAATGTCTAAGCAATGTTGTTGTTATGATATTTTGACTAACAGCTCAAGATCTGGATGATACGGATAAATTTTCGATGAGACTGTTGATATCACTGATTCCTGTAGAAGTGCAACGATTAGACTGCTTCCATAAAGATGTTATCCTTTCGATAAAATTCTGCAGTATGCGATGCTTAACTAAAATAGGATTCTGGAAAAGGATTCTATTTAACTTTACTCATAAATAGATTTTACGCAAGAGTTTTACTTTTCAAGCCAGCTTTATAATAGAGTACCATTAGTATTTAGTAGTCCCTGGTACCATATTTTGATCACGTTGATGGAATAATGACATGCAATATTGTAGTATTATGAATGTAAGCAACTCGAGATAAAACATTATATGCAACAAGAATCTTCTTATTGAGCATTTGTATAATTTTAAAGGATTCTTCTGATTAATCGTTAATTTTAAAATTGTCCTTGCTACAATACGAGTCTCGTTCAACTTGCTTGAGACATTCGAGAACTTGTTTGAATAATACACCTCCAAGCTTTCATCTATGTCAGTCAAGATGAAACATAGGTAAGCCTCTTTATTTTCGGTTCAAACTGCTATGATCGGCGTGTCTCAAGCCAAAATCTCTGTCAGTTTCAGAATGAATGCTATCGTACTGTAAAATGTAAACACATTTCGGTTAAAAAAATTTAATTAGCATAAGTTGAAACAGTGGATGTATCTAATTACTTACGAGAATGACAGGCAGGAAAACGAATGCTATCGTACTGTAAAATGTAAACATATTTTTGGTTAAAAAAAATTTGATTAGCATGAGTTGATACAGTGGATGTATCTAATTATTTATGAGAATGGCAGGCATAAGAACGAATGCTATCGTACTGTAAAATGTAAACATGTTTGGGTTAATATAATAAAGATTTAATTAGTACGGAATAACAGTAGGTGTGTCTAATTACTTTTGAGAGTGACAGACTTTTGCTTCAAGTATTTCGCGATAATTTGATTAAATATCTATCAATTAATTGAATTCTAAGTCAGCTTAATAAAAATATCTAGATGAAGAGGATCAGTTTACAGTAACTTTTTAAGACTAGACATTATTTCGTTAGCCATTTCATATAAATTAACTGCTCGCGATCTTTTACCAGTATTTTGATTAGCCAATAAATAATGATAGTTTACAGTATCAAACTATTCTCTTTTACTAGATACACAGCGGAACTGGTATATTAGATAAAAACGTAGCGTAAATTATAATTTGAATATGATCAATCACACATAATGATAGTTCTAAGATCAATTTAATTAGTATCAATTTCTTTTATTCTCAGACGAGATAAAATTGATCCGAATGGTTTCATATTGATATGTTACCTCTACTACGGAACCTATTTTCAAGGTAAAAGTTGTACGTCAATCTATCTTGCATATAGACTCTATACTACTGCAAGCGTCCACTGTCTAGTACAAGACAGATTTTTACAATTTTTCAAAAGATCTAGAAATGGTACAGAAGCATCTTGCATTCAGTAGCAGTAGTCACATTGCTTTAGCTTTACGACAGTTAAAGTACAGTACAAAGCTACTGTATGAGCGATGCAACAACTTTGCAAGCACGGTTACTGCTATTCTACCTGCAGTTGATAATATTCCCACCTTCTCGCCTGAATATAATCGTGTAAATAATGGGAAATTCACGAAGCTAGCTTAATAATAACTAAAACCCTCACATATTTATAAGGCTAAATAAATAAAGCTATGAGTCTTAATTCGTCAGCAATGCGAAGAATATGCAGTATACTGTGTGCACTGTATAGTATGCAGTATCGTCGGTAGGAGAGGGGAGTTCTAACACGCGTAAACTTGGATGAGCTTTAAAATTTTTGTTAAATGCAATTCTCTGATCTTGTAAGTTTTAATTTAAGGCTAATCACGTATTTCTATAATATTTAACGTGATCATAAATTTCTTATCATTTTCTAAGCTTAATCTTCTACGTTTCACTAAGCAGTATATTAAAATAATGAAGTATAGAAAATTAGTTAAGTTTATAGGTCAGCAGCAGAATTTTACAGCTTTCTTTAAATTTAATCTTAATAGTTTTTCATTAATGATATAGATTGTATTTCAGGCTAAATAATTAAACCAAACGACCTTCAATTCTTGGCTGAATTTGCAGGGACGACTAGATGTTACTTTCAGTAGTAGGTGGATATTATCGCCTTTATCTAGGTGAAATTCGATATTCTTATGTGCAGATGTAATGTTTTCTCGTATTTGATTGTTTCTGGAACTAAACCGCGGTAAATATTAAATGAATAACATACTGCATTTATTAAATATTTCTCGTAGTGAAGAAGACAAGCGACAATCATTTTATTAAATGATAAGCATGCAAATAAATATGTATTTTAAGCTTTTTCTTACGAAATCAACGATATGTAATCAGCGGTTAGTAGTTAACATATTGATATGAAACGAAATGAATATTACAAAATTTCCTTGATGAAGTAAAATGATTACTGTATAAGGCGAATACGGATAAATTTCTAATTAAGCGATGATTAAATGATGACAGTGTAATAATAATCCCTGACGGTAAAGCAATTGCAATAAATTACCTAAAAATCGAAAATAAACATTTGCTATGTTTTTGACAAATAAATCGTATGTTATAGATAAACCGAACACAGTTAGTGTTAGAGAAATCGTTTAAGAATGCCAAAAAGCAATCTTTACAAGTAACAAGATATATAGAATGTTATAGTTGTTTCCTAAAGCGCCAGAAATTTGATTATCTACTGTTCCTGTAGATACTGTAGCATTTGGACTATTAGTACTGTTCGTAGTTCCATTCATAGTAGATGTGACTGAAGTTGTTGATGCTAGTATGATAATGTGAAAAAAGATATATAGAAAAAGCAATTAGATACAGTTACTGGTAGAAAAAATTTGATTTACATAAGTTATACAAGTAATACTGTAAAATTAAATTCAAGCAATACAATTAAGGATATAATCTCCTACTCTAAGCAGCGCGAATGTTTTATATACTCGTATAAAACTGTCTAAAGATAAAATACTACAATAAAAGAATACTATGACTAACATTCTAGTTCTATTCTGGAGACAGCTAGAAACAGTTACTTAGACCTACCCGTAGTTGCTGAGTTCGAAGTTGCAGGCGCTGGAGTTGTAGCTCCTGGAGTTGAAGTTTGAGTTGTGGCTCCAGAAGTCAGAGTTTGAGTTGTAGCTCCTGGAGTCGAAGTTTGAGTTGTGGCTCCAGAAGTCGGAGTTTGAGTTGTAGCTCCTGAGGTCGTAGTTTGAGTTGTAGTTCCCAAAGTTGGAGCTTGAGTTGTAGCTCCTGAAGTCAAAGTTTGGGTTGTAGCTCCGGAAGTCGGAGTTTGAGTTGTAGCTCCTGAGGTCGTAGTTTGAGTTGTAGTTCCTGAAGTGGAGTTTGAGTTGTAGCTTCTGAAGTCGAAGCTTGAGTTGTAGCTTGAGCTGTAGCTCCTAAAGTCGTAGTTTGAGTTGTAGCCTCTGAGGCCGTAGTTTGAGTTGTAGCTCCTGAAGTCGAAGTTTGAGTAGAAGCTCCTGATGTCGTAGTTTGAGTTGTAGCTCCTGAAGTCGGAGTTTGATTTGTAGCTAGAGTTGTAGCTAGAGTTGTAGCTTGAGTTGTAGCTTGAGTTGTAGCTTGAGTAGTAGCTTGAGTAGTAGCTTGAGTTGTAGTTTGAGTTGTAGCTTGAGTAGTAGCTTGAGTAGTAGCTTGAGTCGTAGCTTGAGTCGTAGCTTGAGTCGTAGCTTGAGTCGTAGCTTGAGTCGTAGCTTGAGTTGTAGCTTGAGTAGTAGCTTGAGTTGTAGCTAGAGTTGTAGCTAGAGTTGTAGCTAGAGTTGTAGCTAGAGTTGTAGCTTGAGTTGTAGCTTGAGTTGTAGCTTGAGTAGTAGCTTGAGTCGTAGCTTGAGTCGTAGCTTGAGTCGTAGCTTGAGTCGTAGCTTGAGTCGTAGCTTGAGTTGTAGCTTGAGTTGTAGCTTGAGTTGTAGCTTGAGTCGTAGCTTGAGTTGTAGCTTGAGTTGTAGCTTGAGTTGTAGCTTGAGTTGTAGCTTGAGTTGTAGCTTGAGTTGTAGCTTGAGTCGTAGCTTGAGTTGTAGCTTGAGTTGTAGCTTGAGTTGTAGCTTGAGTTGTAGCTCCTAAAGTCGGAGTTTGAGTTGTAGCTACTGAAGTCGGAGTTGGAGTTGTAGCGACTGAAGTCGGAGTTTGTGTTGGAGTTGTGTTGGGTAATTTTGTAGTTGCTTGGCTGGTGGCTGTTAGTGCAGAAGAATCAAGAAATTGTATTTTGATCGCTTTTACGTGTGATATTGTTATTTTTTTGAATTTATAAGGTTCTATCTTGGTATACAGTTGCCATCAATTTAGATTGTAATATGTCGTAAAAATATTGTCTACTGAAGGTCAATATCAGACTTAAACTAGACAAGAACAAGTAACTGGCAGATCGTGGTACTACGTTATGGATAAATTAGGGACGTTAATAAGGTTACTATTATCAGAATTATGGAAAGAAATTTTGATTGTTACTACTAAAACTATCACTGAAACTAAGTAAAGCTATAAGGTATTGAAAAGGAAAAGATAGCCATCGATCTCTATCAGTTATATGATACTGCTGTAAGTATAACATAAACATGAGATTGTTTAAGAACGATCTTACCTAGAGTTGCAGTCGGTACAGTGCTATGGCCATGACTATCAATACTGCCTCCATTGCCTGGTTGACTACATGACGGTGGAGCGTAACCATTATCACAATGACAGTTTCCGTTACTATTGCAAATCTATAACGAAGAATTCATACAATATCTTAACTAACTGCATTTTTGGTCGTAAAGAAAATGGTCGATATCAGTACATTGACAACGTTAGCTGTCAGCTAGTATCAGAAATAATGCAGCTGAGTTACTGTGAACTGAAGTAATATCATTATCTTTCTCTGTTCATTTTCATTTTTAGAATATTATCTGATTATAATATGATTAATTTAGATTATTTTTTACTTACTCCGTGATTAGAGCAATCAACAGGGTTACACTGTTTAACGTTGATGACGGAAGAAATATTTCGGCATTCGTTATCGAAACAAATTTTTTTATCTCCACATTTTGTTCCGTCCAATACAATCCCTGGATCGGGGATGTCCGAGCCTAAGTCTACAGAAGCGCTCTTGCAAATAGTTTGCTGTCCACCCTTTATAATAATAGAATTAGTAAATCCGAATAGAGATTTAGTATTTGCAGAGGTAACGTTAACATTAAGGTCAAACTAATGTAATCATGGCGCAAGTTATAGTACCTAGCTAACGATATTTGTATATGAGGTAATACTTGCCGAGTAGCATTAAGTAGGCGATCTTACCTGAGTAAATGTAACTGTTGCAGAACTCCAGGTACTACCGATCGCGGGCTTACTGGCTTGTGTATCGCAATGAAGTTTACCACATTGAACATTGCTTGCGGTGCAACCGATAAACTGTCCAGCACTAGTTTTCTTACAAAAGCCATATTTATTTCCAGCAACATTGAGTCTATCCCAACAGAGCTGAGGAGCCTTCTTTCCAGTGGAACCCCATAATGTTTGACATTGTGCGTCGATAGTAACGCATGCTCCATTATAGCAATAACCGGCACCATTACCACATGTAAGCGATGATTGCTTGACGACATTAACAGGACAATCTGCTGATGTTCCACTACAGTATTCTGGTAAATCACAATCATTCGTAACATTGCGGCATAGCGTTGATCTAGCCTTGAATTTACAATTTGCACAGCACGATCCGGAGGCGCATTCAGCAAACGATTGCAGTTTACATGTTGCTGCATTGCAACAAGGATCCTGACACTGTGCTACGCTTCCGCAGTCACATTCCTCGCCCGATTCTCTAAAACCATTTCCACAAACTGGATTTGTGTATAATTTTGTAGGAGCGTTAAACAGACATGATCCGAGTCCTTCATTTAAATTTTTATTCAAGTCTGCGACGCTACAGCTAGAGAATGATTGCGGGTAAGGCGAACGTAACGTCGCTGCCATAATACATATTGTAGCTCCAGTTGGTTTATAAGGGCAGGAACAGGTTCTGCCCGTATCATGATTCATGCCAAAATTATGGCCCATTTCATGCGCCATAATTGCAGCTACAACTTCCAAATTCATTGAGTTCTCGACTACACCAACTGAGTTAGATAAACACATAGTTGAAACATAGGCAATACCTAGATTGTAATAGATAGAAGATACTCATTAAAGTAATTTCTTCAAAGAGGCAGTAGGTTGTAATACTGTAAGTATTTTATCGTTTAAAACATAATTTTGCCATAATTAAGATTATTTAATCCTTAGCTATCATTAATATCACTGAAGAGACTAGACTTACCAGCTTTATTAGCGAGATTAATGCCTGTAAGTAATTGTGCGTTGTCATACGGATTTGATTTCTTCAAAACCAAATTTGAGTAATTAGCGAACCTAGTTAAAGTAGCAGAGCCATCTGTTGTAACCAGCATTTGATCAGCTTGGGACCACGTAACTAAACTCATCAGAGCAACGCGTATGTTGATTGACTTATATCTTAAATCGACGTTATTAGCGACCTAGGTTTATGCAAAATAGAGCTGTCACATTCTTACAATCTATTTTTAAAGGCTACTGGAAACCAACAGATGTTCACAATAATCATAGTTTCTATTACGATAGATACTCTATATTTTATGGTACACTTGATAGAAGAGCTGGTTTATCATGACTCTTTGCGAATATGAAAATAATATCTTAACACTGCGAAAGATAACATGCGATTTGTAGTAATTGCCATTGATAGTTGCTCTGTGACTACATTCCTTAACCATAATAGGCTCTACCTTGTTGTTGGACAATCTCAAATTATACCCTACCAAAACCTAATTATGCTGCTACTTTACAGAAGATGTCTAAAATATTGTATAGTTTGGCACTTACAGGGTATCGAACTAGTTTACAAGACACGAAACGTGTAAAAATTCAAATTACTTTTCCTACCATATGTAATGAATATATCAACATACTGCAACATAGAGTGATTTTATTAATTTTAATTAGTAGTTATTGTAGTGCTTGTTAGCGCTATAATCAATCGATATAATGTACATTTATTGTATAGAATTTTACTATTGTTTAGTGATTAACGCTCATTATTTATGCGGCGTTATGTTAATCACGCCTGATAGGACAATCCCTTTTGCGAAGCTGGCCCACTATTGAATAAATGCTCGAATAAGTACAGTAGTCGCGAAAATTGTAATATTACCATGAATGTTGTACAACATACGTTCTGTGTACGATAGTAACTACTTCATTAACTTATACCTATACATCACAGTGCATTACCGTGTGGCGGTTGTTTAGTGAGCGTAACAGGTAAAATTGTAATGAAAATTATGAGATTGTACGGAGTTAGGCAATTATTAATTAATATCAAATATTGATTTTATGCACTAACCTGAATAGAATGACTTTCTATAGCGGTTAAATTGCCATTTAAGAGATCGAATGATCGCTTATCGTTTACTAATACTAATTCGACATACTTGGTTTCATTGATAACATTGCGCCGACGACGTAGATGTAATACTTTTCTATCTTCAAGCAATTTCTCAACTTTCGGATTTAATTCTGGGATTTCACTAGCACAGTGATATTCCTTAAGGTGATTACTACTTTGATCTTCTAGATCTTTGATACGATAGGTAGCGTGCAGTTGATCGTCGAGAGGCATTATAGCGTAATCATGACCACGATAGTGAAATCTTCCTTTAATACCGCGACAAGCGGCGACAGCCACGTTATCTAGTGAATCCTAATTTAACGATAACGGCGATAGATGGCAAACAAATTAGTCCATTAGTCTATTAAGTGTATAAGATTAATTATCATACGAATACACAATATATCTTAATCGAATAGTGCAATACTATGAGCTAGTTATCATGATAATTACAGCTTAGGACTAAGGTTTAACTCGTAAAAATGTAATCGTTGATAGCAAAATGATTTCTACGTCTACAATAGCGAGTTTTTAAGTAAAGACTTCTTTAACTCAATCATACGACTCATGAGCTGCAAAAAAATGAGTTTTATTAATATTCATGTAAGACAATATCTAACGCATTATGTACATTGTTCAATCTGGTGAAGCCGATGTATTATCCGCTATTGAATTACGGTACATTTATGTTATTGTATTACAGGTAACCTATTTGTATTATGGGCGAAACTATATGAGAGTGATTGGTTAATTTTTATACGATTTAATTTAAGGGAAGATGGATGGAGATATCTTCCCTTTTATAAAGAAATTTTCGATTCTTACTTTTATTATTTTCTTTTAAGGATACTGTAACTATATCCATAAACCGTAATATGAATGTGAAGTATCATAAAAGTTTAATATGTTACTTTCTGTAGGTTTGTAACTTGTAAAATAGTTACTTTAATGGTAATCCATGAACTGGATATTTAGTTGAGTTATAGACATTAGTAATTGTGGCGTGCTGCTTATACAGTTACAGTCAAGGTCATTAGCCTTACCTTAGCGTTTGCAGTTTGGCGAATTCGACCGTGATAGTAGCAAAATGGTTGTGTTAAGCCTCGTTGGCGACGCATTTGACCATTAACTTGATAGGTATGATGAAAATAGCGATCGACTAGTCCATCGTTACGCTGTAAATCTAACGTTAGCTTTTCACCATTTAGATTTATATCGACTGATGCAGTTGACGATACAATTGGCCACTGATATTTTTCTCCTTTAATAGTTATTTCGGGTTTAAATAAATGATAACTACGAAGTCCATGAGGTAGTTGCTGTTTTTGTTCCTTGGTTAAGTTAGCGTCGGTCAGAGTATTTAACAATATCAAGGACAAAGCAACAGTTAGCCAGCGAGAATAGCTCTTGCTCCGTGTTTTACTGCTTCCTAGAGTGACCATCGCTAATCCTAGTACGCTAAACATAGATACATTTTATCGTTTAGTCTGTCTATACATATGCAGTTAAATGAACAATTCATATCGAATAATTCAATTCTAAATAGAAACTGATTCTGGAATCTGGGTTTTATTAAAAAATTAGGGAGGACGTTGTATTTCTAGTCTATTTTTCAACAGAAAACTCGGCTACTTGTATCATTGCTTAAATTGTGTAGAAGTAAATTTCAAACAAACACACGAATATCTGTTTACGAGTAAGCTGATTACGATCTTTTGTATACTTTAAAATCACAGGATATATTACACAAGATAATTTTATCCTACCTATGGCGTGTTGAATGCACTTGCACCCAATTTTCCCTTGCGATCTCAGTAATGGCACGTATAACGAATGTATACAATCAAGGCAAGTAATCGTTTGACAACCTGATTATAGCTTTTAATTATCCTAGAAGAATTAAAGATCAAACAGTAATGCAAAGTGTTGAGGGGCACTACCCGAATATAGTACGATAAGAACACGCATTGCAGGAATTAATGCTTAAGGCAATTATTACGGTACTTGTAGGCTGAGTCTGCGATTATTTTTATTCGCCAAAGCGTCAAATAAAAGATAGAAAGAGAACACAAAAGATAGAAGCAAACAACTCGAAAGGGTATTATTTACTTGCAGAGAGTCAGGTCATTGAACTATTCTATAGCGACGGAATTACGCCGGAACAAAGCATTGGATGAAAAAGCAATAAAGCTGCTGATTTACATCATATATATACGTTATTAGTTTAATAATATTGTTATAATTGAATAAATCTCGAAGCAGTATTGTTATGATCAATTTTTACCAACACTTCAAGATCTAGATGATACGGATAAGTTTTCGATAGGACTGTTTATATCACTGATTCATGTCCGTATAGGCGAAGCGATTAGATTACTTCAATAAAAATTGTTGTCCTTGATATAATATTTTGATGTATGGGATGCTTTACTACATGTAGGTGCACTAAAATAGAATTTTTGTTCATTTGTACTCATAAATAGATCTTACGAAAGTGTTTACTTTCTAAGTCAGCTTTATAGTAGAGCACTATTAGTATTAGTAGTCCTTGGTACTGTATTTTGATTACTTTGATAGAATAATGGCATGCTGTACAGTACTCTTATGGAAGTAAGTAATTTTATAGTAAGCAACTCTACGTACTATAGAATATGATCGATTTTTATGATAACCATACGTACTGACTGTATATTTTAAATTATTGCATGTACAGGAAGCAATATTTTCGTTGTCAATAGCTTCTTAATATCGGAGTGAGAACGTTATGCTTTAAAAATCTTCTTATCGAGGAGTGTATAATTAGGAAGATTTTTTGATAAATCTATAATTTTAAAATTATCTTAGCTAGAATCCGAGTCTCGTTCAATCCAGTTGCAATATTATTTAAAAACACACCTCCAAGTGTTCATTTATGTCAGTACAGATGAGACATACGTAGACTTCTTAATTTGCGGTTTAAATTGTTTCGATAGTCATACCTTTATGTTGATATCTCTGTCAGCATCTAAATGAATGCTATTGTTCTGTAAAATATAAATACATTTTGGGTAAGAATTTGACGTGAATTGAATAACAGTGGTGGGTCTAATTGCTTTTGAGAATGGCAGACTTCCTTTAATTTATTTAAATGTCTATCAATTAATTGAATTTTGGGCTAATAAAAATATTCAGACGAAGAGGATTAGTATATTTTTTAAGGACTAGATATTATTTCGTTAACTATTTTATACAACCTAATTAATCGTGATTATTTACTAGTACTTTGACTAGCCTATAAGCAATGATGGTTTATGATTTCAATCCATTCTCTTTTACTGGATACAATGCGGGGCTGGTATAGCAGATAATAACTAAGAATAAATTATAATTATAATACGAATATAATCATTCACACGTAATGATAATGCTAAGATCAATTTAATTAGAATCAATTTCTTTTATTCCCAGAAGTGATAAAATCGATCCAAGTCGTTCAACATTGATATGTTGCCTTTACTTCAACAGAATTGTATTTGGTAGATTTTCAGAAGCAATTTGATTTATTTTTGTTATGAGCTTAACTTGATATACTGTTGTTGATCATAATAGATTACAAAATTTATGCGACGTTAAAGGGTTAATGGAATGGAATAATTTCGCCTAAAATTCATGTCGATAATCGAAGTTTGCAATTTTTCAGTTAGCAATATAGACGATAGGCCACAATAACGAGCTATCATTTTGCAGTTAAAGCCAGTTTCAAGGTAAAGGCTTATTTCAATCTATTTGGTATATACTGTAAAGTATACAGTGTATTCTCTATGCTGCTACAACTGTCCTAGTATAAAACAAATTTTATAACTTGTTAAAAGTTCTTAAAATGGTTCAGTTATAGTAGTCGTATTGCTTTAGCTTTAAGACAGTTAAAGTACAGTACAGTGTTACTGCATGAGCTACGCAACTTTAGAAGCACGGTTACTGCTGTTTTACTATCAGCTGATAGCGTTCTCAACCTCATACTCGAATAAAATCGTAAAATATAATAGGAAATTTGTAATGTTAGGTTAATAGTAACTAGAACCCTTACAGATTTGTATGGTTAAAAAATAACATTAAGAGCCATAATTCGTCAGCAACGCAACGAATATGCAGTATCGTTGGTAAGAGAGGGAAGTTCTAACACGCGTAAACTTGGATGAGCTTTAAAATTTTTGTCAAATGCAATTCTCTGATCTTGTAAGTTTTAATTTTAGGCTAATGACGTATTTCTATAATATTTAACGTGATCATAAATTTCTTATCATTTTCTAAGCTTAATCTTCTACGTTTCACTATGCAGTATATTAAAATAATGAAGTATAGAAAATTAGTTAAGTTTATAGGTCAGCAGCAGAATTTTACAGCTTTCTTTAAATTTAATCTTAATAGTTTTTCATTAATGATATAGTTTGTATTTCAGGCTAAATAATTTAACGAAACGACATTCAATTCTTGGCTGAATTTGCAGGGACGACTAGATGTTACTTTCAGTAGTAGGTGGATATTATCGCCTTTATCTAGGTGAAATTCGATATTCTTATGTGCAGATGTAATGTTTTCTCGTATTTGATTGTTTCTGGAACTAAACCGCGGTAAATATTTAATGAATAACATACTGCATTTACTAAATATTTCTCGTAGTGAAGAAAACAAGCGACAATAATTTTATTAAATGATAAGCATGCAAATAAATATGTATTTTTAAGCTTTTTCTTACGAAATTAACGATATGTAATCAGCGGTTAGTAGTTAGCATATTGATATGAAACGAAATGAATATTACAAAATTTCCTTGATGAAGTAAAATGATTACTGTATAACACGAATACGGATAAATTTCTAATTAAGCGATGATTAAATGATGACAGTGTAATAATAATCCCTCACGGTAAAGCAATTGCAATAAATTACCTAAAAATCGAAAATAAACATTTGCTATGTTTTTGACAAATAAATCGTATGTTATAGATAAACCGAACACAGTTAGTGTTAGAAAAATCGTTTAAGAATGCCAAAAAGCAATCTTTACAAGTAACAAGATATATAGAATGTTATAGTTGTTTCCTAAAGCGCCAGAAATTTGATTATCTACTGTTCCTGTAGATACTGTAGCATTTGGACTATTAGTACTGTTCGTAGTTCCATTCATAGTAGATGTGACTGAAGTTGTTGATGCTAGTATGATAATGTGAAAAAAGATATATAGAAAAAGCAATTAGATACGGTTAGTGGTGGTAAAAATTTGATTTACATAAGTTATACAAGTAATACTGTAAAATTAAATTCAAGCAATACAATTAAAGGCATTATCTCCTAGTCGAAGCTATACGGGTGTTTATCTATAAAACTGCCTAAAGATAAAATACTACAATAAAAGAGTTCTATTAAAAATGACTAACATTCTAGTTCTATGCTCGAGATAGCTAGAGACATATTTAGACCTACCGGTAGTTACTAAGTTCGAAGTTGCAGGCGCTGGAGTTGTAGCTCCTAAAGTCGGAGTTTGAGTTGTAGCTACTGAAGTCGGAGTTGGAGTTGTAGCGACTGAAGTCGGAGTTTGTGTTGGAGTTGTGTTGGGTAATTTTGTAGTTGCTTGGCTGGTGGCTGTTAGTGCAGAAGAATCAAGAAATTGTATTTTGATCGTTTTTACGTGTGATATTGTTATTTTTGAATTTATAAGGTTCTATCTTAGTATACAGTTCCCATCAATTTAGATTATAACATGTCGTAAAAATATTGTCTACTGAAGGTCAATATCAGACTTAAACTAGACAAGAACAAGTAACTGGCAGATCGTGGTACTACGTTATGGATAAATTAGGGACGTTAATAAGGTTACTATTATCAGAATTATGGAAAGAAATTTTGATTGTTACTACTAAAACTATCACTGAAACTAAGTAAAGCTATAAGGTATTGAAAAGGAAAAGATAGCCATCGATCTCTATCAGTTATATGATACTGCTGTAAGTATAACATAAACATGAGATTGTTTAAGAACGATCTTACCTGGAGTTGCAGTCGGTACAGTGCTATGGCCATGACTATCAATACTACCTCCATTGCCTGGTTGACTACATGACGGTGGAGCGTAACCATTATCACAATGACAGTTTCCGTTACTATTGCAAATCTATAACGAAGAATTCATACAATATCTTAACTAACTGCATTTTTGGTCGTAAAGAAAATGGTCGATATCAGTACATTGACAACGTTAGCAGTTAGCTAGTAACAGAAATAATGCAGTAAAGTTACTGTGAACTGAACTAATATCATTATCTTTCTCTGTTTATTTTCATTTTTAGAATATTATCTGATTATAATATGATTAATTTAGATTATTTTTACTTACTCCGTGATTAGAGCAATCAACAGGGTTACACTGTTTAACGTTAATAACATTAGAAATATCACGGCATTCGTTATCGAAACAAATTTTTTTATCTCCACATTTTGTTCCGTCCAATACAATCCCTGGATCGGGGATGTCCGAGCCTAAGTCTACAGAAGCGCTCCTGCAAATAGTTTGCTTTCCACCCTTTATAATAATAGAATTAGTAAATCCGAATAGAGATTTAGTATTTGCAGAGATAACGTTAACATTAAGGTCAAACTAATGTAATCATGGTGCAAGTTATAGTACCTAGCTAACGATATTTGTATATGAGGTAATACTTGCCGAGTAGCATTAAGTAGGCGATCTTACCTGAGTAAATGTAGCTGTTGCAGAACTCCAGGTACTACCGATCGCGGGCTTACTGGCTTGTGTATCGCAATGAAGTTTACCACATTGAACATTGCTAGCGGTGCAACCGATAAACTGTCCAGCACTAGTTTTCTTACAAAAGCCATATTTATTTCCAGCAACATTGAGTCTATCCCAACAGAGCTGAGGAGCCTTCTTTCCAGTAGGACCCCATAATGTTTGACATTGTGCGTCGATAGTAACGCATGCTCCATTATAGCAATAACCGGTACTATTACCACATGTAAGGGATGATTGCTTGACGACATTAACAGGACAATCTGCTGATGTTCCACTACAGTATTCTGGTAAATCACAATCATTCGTAACATTGCGACATAACGTTGATCTAGCCTTGAATTTACAATTTGCACAGCACGATCCGGAGGCGCATTCAGCAAATGATTGCAGTTTACATGTTGCTGCATTGCAACAAGGATCCTGACACTGTGTTACGCTTCCACAGTCACATTCCTCGCCCGATTCTCTAAAACCATTTCCACAAACTGGATTTGTGTATAATTTTGTAGGAGCGTTAAACAGACATGATCCGAGTCCTTCATTTAAATTTTTATTCAAGTCTGCGACGCTACAGCTAGAGAATGATTGCGGGTAAGGCGAACGTAACGTCGCTGCCATAATACATATTGTAGCTCCAGTTGGTTTATAAGGGCAGGAACAGGTTCTGCCCGTATCATGATTCATGCCAAAATTATGGCCCATTTCATGCGCCATAATTGCAGCTACAACTTCCAAATTCATTGAGTTCTCGACTACACCAACTGAGTTAGATAAACACATAGTTGAAACATAGGCAATACCTAGAATGTAATAGATAGAAGATACTCATTAAAGTAATTTCTTCAAAGAGGCAGTAGGTTGTAATACTGTAAGTATTTTATCGTTTAAAACATAATTTTGCCATAATTAAGATTATTCAATCCTTAGCTATCATTAATATCACTGAAGAGACTAGACTTACCAGCTTTATAGCGAGATTAATGCCTGTA